TATGATGATACATGATGGTATAAAAAAGTGATACTCCTAAATGCAGTGATAATACCCGGAATAGGATTTTATGAAGGACAATGTCATGTTGATATTGAGAACAATAGATTTGTATCCAATACTATGGGTGGGTGGGTGGGGGAATGGTTCAAAGTAGAACAGTAATAGTAGATAAGAGCTTGCTGTGTGTGTGTGCGTGTGTCGGAGGACAACTCGCTTTCATTTCAGCAGAGGACTCAGCCCTTTGGTTCTGGTTTTCTAAACTCTATCCACTGTTGGCCTTTCCTTTTGAGCAACGAACAAAGCCGGCACAGAGAGAAAAGGACTTTTACACTTCTTGGCATATTCCCCTTTCATTCTTAGCCAAGGGACCCGTTACCAATGTCCTCCAACAATCCGAACAATCCCTTTGATGATCCGGGTGAAATAACCGAGACATTTCGCGATGGCGGCGGCCAAGGAAACCAACCACAACAGCATTCTCAACCCATCGCTTATGGTGGAGAAGATGCCACAGCCAATCCATTTGCAGGAAGCAGTGGTTCTTCCCATCCCATTCAACAACCAGCTCATTCTCGTGTACAGCAAGGCACTCACGGCATGTCTTCACAAGGCAATAGCACCACTTCACCCTACATGGCCGACTTGATAGATCTCCAACATGGCACGTCTGAACCCCCTACACCAGCGTCAGCTCTTCCTACGTCCACCACTGCTGGGATGGCATCTTATCCACCACAAGCAGCTGCCACAAGCAGGCAACAGCAGCAGCAATTCACCCCCACCCCCACCACATATCCCCCAGCGCCAAGCCAACCGGGTCAGCTACGGAGAATGGAAACATTCAACACAGATACAGGTAATGGGAGAATTACAAGTATATATATATCTCTATGTATGCTAATGATCCCCATTTGAATAGGATCGCTTTATGAAGAAGGTGGTACATATGATGATGATGACGATTTGAGACTCTTGGAGCATCAAGGTTCTATTGCAGGAGCAAGGACAAATCAATCTGGATCATCAGGTGGTGCTGATTCGGGTGGTGGTATTCCTTTGCGATCTTCTGTGGGCGCTACACAACCAACAAGTACATCGGCACGGCGAGGAAGGAAAAAGAAACGTGGATGTTTGGAAGGCATCAAGGATACAGTGAATACCTTATTGGGTCGTCCAGCTTCGGCATCAGGCACCGCTGGTGAAGGTGGTGAACGCATTATCCATATCAACAACCCCGATTTGAACGACGAGCAACGCTTCCTCCATAATCGTATCTTTACAGCAAAGTACACCATCATCACCTTTTTGCCGAGATTCTTGTACGAGGAGTTTTCAAAATATGCCAATCTCTTCTTCTTGTTCATTTCTGGTATTCAGGTAATCTACATGGCGAATGGAGCATTCATTTGTGTGATGATTGATGCTGATGATGATACTTTATCATTGTAGCAAATCCCCGATATTTCACCCACATCACGTTGGACCACACTGGTACCCTTATGTATTGTCTTGTTCATTACGGCTATCAAAGAAATCATGGAAGACTATGTAAGTAAATTGATTAAGGAGAAAAAAAAAGAGAAAGAGGAAGTAGGATTAAAACCCGATCATGATAGGGCGTACATCGATCAGACGCTGAGCTCAATGCAAGAAAGTGCAAAGTATTGGTGGGATCCGAATTCGTTGAGCAATCATGGCGAGACGTCAAAGTGGGCGATGTTCTCCGTATAGAAAGCGGTGAAAATTTCCCGGCGGATTTGGTCTTGGTGAGCAGTTCAGAACCTGAAGGTCTTTGCTATGTTGAAACTAGCAATTTGGACGGGTAAGATGGATACGCATAGGCGCTTTATGCAGCATGATTGCTTATACAAATGATAGCGAGGTCAACTTGAAGATCAAACAGGCTTTACAGCAAACCAGCAAAATCCTGGATCCTCGTGAGATGAGCCAACTACAAGGTGTGATCAAATGCGAGCAGCCGAACAACCGATTATACAATTACGATGGTGTGCTTTCTGTTTCATCAGCTGATGAAGTCGGCAAAACACGTGATTACGCTTTGGATCCCACCCAATTGCTACTTCGTGGTGCTCAATTGAGAAATACGTCTTGGATTTATGGCATTGCAGTATTCACGGGTCACGAAACCAAGTTGATGTTGAATTCGAGGTTCGTAGGATGGGATGGTAATACAAAGAAAGGGCGCTAATCGTATAATGGAAAATAGCAAAAAGCCATCAAAGATGTCAAACGTCACTCATATCACCAACCGCAACATTCTCTATCTCTTTGCTATCTTGGTGCTTATGAGCATTGCTTGTTCTTGCGGTGGTTTAGGATTTGCAGTAAGTAAGGATATGGAGCTTGTCAACATGAATATTGATGTGTATCCATCTTTGCATATAGCTTACCAAGAGCGACCAAATGGGCTATTTACCATTCGAGAATCAAAACCGCGCAGCTGAATTCGGCTATGATATTTTGACATTCTTGATTTTGTTCAACAGTTTTATCCCGATCAGGTTAGTCTCATTGCTCTACACGTTGACTACCTCTTATGCTAATACTAAAACGAATTCTAGTTTGATGGTCACTATGGAGATTGTCAAGTTTGTGCAGTCGTTGTTGATTGAGGCCGATCTCGACATGTATTATGAAAAGACCGACACACCAGCAGTTGCACGTAGTAGCAGTTTGATCGAGGAATTGGGCCAAGTCAAATTTGTCTTTTCCGATAAGACCGGCACCTTGACATGTAATGAGATGCAATTTCGGCAAGCGTCCATTGCTGGTCTCTCGTATGCGGATAAGGTCGATTCTGACAAGCAAGCAAGGGAAGGATCCGATGACCCCACGCTTCAATACACGTTCAATCAGCTTCAAGAGCATCTCAAGACCCATCCCACTGCCAATGTGATCAATGAATTTTTGATCTTGCTCGGATGCTGTCATACCGTTATTCCCGAGAAATCCAAAAATGGTGATGACGAGATCATTTATCAAGCGTCCTCTCCTGATGAAGGTGCCCTTGTCAAAGGTGCCAGCCAGCTTGGTTATACTTTTCATGTAAGTGGATGATAAAAAGGGCTGAAAGGAAAGAGAGGGAGAGTTTTATTGACTTGGCATGGAACATCATAGACTCGACGACCCAACTCGATTACATGCAGCATTCGTGGTCATGATATGGAGTTTCAGGTGCTCAACATTTGTGAATTCAACTCGACTCGTAAACGTATGTCGGCTATTGTCCGTGGACCCGATGGCAAGATCAAGCTGTATTGTAAGGGTGCTGACACTGTCATTCTCGAACGTTTGGCTGAGAACAACCCCTTTGTTGAGCCTACGCTTATTCATTTAGAGGTATGTGAATGGAGAATGATAATGGCAAAGTGAGAGACTTATATGTGCACGTTTGTGATAGGAATTTGCCTCTGAAGGTTTACGTACCCTTTGTATTGCTATGCGCGAGATTCCAGAAGAAGAATATGAACGCTGGTCCCAAATTTACGACAAGGCTGCAACCACTTTGGTGAACCGTGCCGAAGAACTTGATAAGGCTGCCGAGATGATTGAGCAAAACCTGTTCTTGTTGGGTGCTACAGCTATCGAAGATAGACTTCAAGATGGTGTTCCCGATACGATTTACTCCTTGCAGGAAGCTGGTATCAGAGTTTGGGTATTGACCGGCGATCGACAGGAAACAGCTATCAACATTGGCTATTCATGCAAGCTTTTGAATGAGGAAATGAGTTTGATCGTATGCAACGAAGACAACCATTGGGATACAAAGAACTTTTTGGAGAAGAAGCTGAGGGAGATCAATGAAGTCCAAAGCCGTGGTGATGAATTAGAGGTAAAACAAGCAAAAAAGCATGTCTACTTTTGATATTGATACCTTGTTCCTTTCATCTAGCCACTTGCTCTCATTATTGATGGTCGTGCTCTCACATTTGCTCTGGAAAAGGATATTGAAAAGATCATGTTTGAGCTCTCGGTTCTATGTAAGGCTGTTATCTGCTGCAGAGTGTCACCGCTTCAAAAGGCATTGGTCGTGAAGCTTGTCAAGAAATACGACAAATCCATCTTGCTCGCTATCGGTGACGGTGCCAACGACGTTTCCATGATTCAGGCAGCCCACGTTGGTGTTGGTATCAGTGGTGTTGAAGGTCTGCAAGCTGCTCGTAGTGCCGATTTTGCTATTGGTCAATTCCGATTCCTCAAAAAGCTACTACTCGTTCATGGTGCTTGGGCCTATCAACGACTCAGCAAGATGATCTTTTACTACTTTTATAAGAACATCGCATTATACTTGACGCAATTTTGGGTAAGGAGGGTAATAGGAGCGGATAATAGGTGGATCGCTAACGATTCTTTTTGTAGTATGCGTTCTATAACGGCTTCTCTGGAACAACGTTCTATGAATCATGGACCATGTCTTGCTTCAACGTCATTTTCACCTTTTTACCTCCATTGGTCATTGGTATTTTCGATCAATTCGTATCCGCTCGTCTCTTGGACAAGTATCCTCAAATGTACATGCTTGGCCAAACCAATGAATTCTTCAATCAACGACGATTCTGGGGCTGGTTTGCTAATGCCGTCTATCATTCCTTGGTAAGTATCATCATATCAACGATAGTATTTGGTCCCAACATTAATGGCTTGTATCTAGCTTTTATTCTTCCTTGGTGTTGGTGCCTTTAGCAATGATGGTGTATTCGCCAATGGATGGGTTGGAGGACAATGGTGGGCTGGTACGGCGGTGTTCACAGCCGTTCTTGGTTGTATCTTATGGAAGGCAGCGTTGATCACAGAGTGAGTATGAGGACCCAATATCAAGATGTGTACATTGCTAATCATCTAATGGCATTTGTAGTATTTGGACCAAGTATACTGTCATTGCTATTGTGGGTTCTATGGCAGCATGGTACATTTTCTTGCCTGTTGTTGCATACATTGGTCCGGCAATCTCGAGTGGCGTCTTCCCTGAATACAATGGTATCGTTCCTCTCCTTTGGGGCAATGCGAACTTTTGGTTGTTCATTATCCTGGTACCACTCATTTGCAATTTGCGTGATTTCTTGTGGAAATAGTAAGTGTCTCCCTCATCCCATTACTTGTGAACGTCATTTTACTTACACCTTGATCTCTTTTTTTCAGTGCCAAACGCATGTACACGCCCCTTCCTTACCACTTTGTTCAAGAAATTCAAAAGTACAACCTTCCCGATTATCGACCAAGAATGGATCGATTCCGCCAAGCCGTCAACAAAGTACGACGGATACAACGTCTCAAGCGCAATCGCGGTTATGCATTCTCACAAAACGACAGCGATCAAAACAAGATTATTCGTGCCTACGACACCACCATTCAGAAACCCCAAGGTTAATAGTTGTGTTTATTACATAGTTCTTCATATATACTCCTTTTCCTTTTCTCTTCCTCCTCACTACCTATACCACAATGTCAGTAATTTTTGTAAAACAGTGTGCTTTCTGGTAAAAAACAATGCGCGCGTTGTAATAGAGCATGTGATGTTTGGCTAAAATGACTCAGGGCAGGGAGTGGTGTGACACAAGATGCATGCGTGATAGTGTGTAATGAAGATAACGCATTATCTTTGAGCCGCTCAAAGGATGATGTACATGTGAGGGAACGAGCTTATATATGAACACGGGATGGCGGAATCATAAGAATTCCAGTATTTTGCGGGTAAAGTAAATACAAGGATGTCCCAAAAATGCCAAACAGCATCCCTCTCTCCGTCAACATTCTTGTTATGCTTTGTCGTTAAAAGACCAATTTCAACAAACGACCTATCAACAATGACATCCCACACCCAAAGGGTTAAAAGAGCGGACCTTTTCGGGCATTTCATGCAAACGCCTTTCCAAAGCAGCTTTCAATCCACCCCCTTGCTGGAAATCCCACCAACTTGTTTATGGAGAAGGAACCATGCATTTACTCCCACATTTATATACAACAATGTTGGTACACGGGAAAATACGGGCGTGAAATATACCATTTATTTACTTGACGGCTTCCTTTGTTTACTATTCTTTCCTAGGTGTTTTTGGGCCCCAACATCTTTGATGCTTGGAGACATTTATCCATAATGGGAACGATCCAATGTCAGTAGATGCAGCTCCTTGGCATCATTCTATATGTGCATGAGTGTGGGGAGAGGTCATTTTTTTATCTCTAGTTCTCTCCGACCGCAGCAAGCGTGCGTATATTCGAGATAAGATCCGTGGCAATGATTCGATTGGATGATCCAGGATTGCTCAGAGGCTGTCGTGCATGTTTTGGTGCCTTGAATTCCGGTTTCCCCCATATGCGCCAAATCACATATAAATACCGCAACTCCGTGACATTTTGTATAGCCCTAATAACACACTTTGCAGTTTACAGCAGCATCGTCCACAACATGTCGCTTTTTGGTTTTGAGATTATCCCTCTTACACCCGACGAGGATGACAGCAGTTACAATCATACCAGTGACGAGCCCTCTGAAGAGAATACAATGCACTGCAACTGGATCGACGATAATGAATGTGTGGAAAACCTCTTCCAGATCGTGCCTCTAATGCCCGAGGAATCATGTATCGATGAAAACAACCATATTCAAACACACATTAAGCTGTTTTTTGAGGAGCTTGGATATTTGACAGAGGAGCCTGAGCCTATTGATCCAACACGAGATTATGATGCTGAAGCCCGACAAATGCTAGAGGAGCGTGCACGTACTCGTCAAAAGCACATTCACCTTTCCCGATCACCATCCCTATGTTATTCAGGAATCTCATCCATATCATCCTCTCATAATGAATACCAACACCTACATGATGTTCGATCACCGCTTTATATGGGTCAAATCGGCCAACAGCAACAGCATCATCATACCGCTCATGTGTCTTCTTCCTCCTCCAACAATGCCGCATCCCATTACCTTTCCTTGTCATCATCGCCTGCACAACCCTATTCACATAATCAACCATCATCACGCCTTCCTAGTTCTTGCGTACAGGCTCATTTACAGCATCATTTGCATCGTCCTCCACAACACATTCCTCATGTCTAAAGCAGCTTTTAGTCCTCTTTCATGTACATAATACACACACAGATACAAACATTTTGCAGCATTCATCTGCAAAGAATTATAATAATAATACACGTCGTCAATTTTACAATGCATTGGTAACATAACCAGTGTCGATGAAAGCCACATAACTTGATTTGCCGCTTTGCAAGTGGGTGGTTTCCCCGCAATTGTGTGAAAGAAAAGGGGTGCTCTGTGCGCAACCAAATGGGATGACTCACCTCCAGTCGGGATGAAGAACACATACAACACCGACCCAAATCAAGTAATTCCTTGTGGGAGTGGAGTAGGGTTGACAAATGATGATGGTTAAAGGGTCTTTCTTCTTTTGCGGATCCCTTCCCACGAGTGTAAGTAGCATAACGGATGATCGGGCTGCGTATTGGTCAACCTGATAAAATCAATGTGGCAGCACAAATGTATACGTACACACGCACACGCATACTACACACCCATGGCTTGCACGACCTTAGTGCTGTTGTTGTCATAATAGTATAGCCTGCTTCCCAATAGTCACTCGCACTAAAATGATGCCTTTAGCAATACCCATGTCTTTTCTTGAAGGAGATGATCGAAACGATGTTATTTATAACCAACCTTTTTTGTTTTGGAAACATTCACCTGTTTTGTACTAGCCATTATTGACGTTGACATGTGCTTGCCAATCGTCTAGACCTTCGAGCATCAGCGTCGTTGACGCACCCTGCTATTGTAGGCAATGGTGTCAGCGGTGTGAAAGAAGAACATGGTAAAAGGCTAAGATGGATCTTAAAAGAAGCCCAAATGATGTCATTTGATTCATTTTTCCTTGTTCTCATTCCGCATGACGCATCCTCGTTTGATCGTTTTGTGGTGGTGTTCATTTTGGGATAAGCGTGAATGGTAATTCAAGGCTATGGCTCTCTTTTTTTCCACTCAGCAACGCCTTACGTTGTTGAGCATGAATACTTCACATATACCATATCTCTTTTCCTCTCCTTATCATATGCATGATGGTGGTGCACACACACACGTTTGTTATCAGAGGTACAGGATAAGGCTATTTTGGCTGTGAATGAAGCTAATGACTAAATTTGATACGACACAGATTACGTGAGAGAGAAACCAGGTGGCGACTAAAAGGTGATACCGGCAAAAAAACATGCTATATTCCCGTGTCCGGTCCCCAGCAGAGTTGTTGTTGCCCTGTGCGGTGATTCAATACCAACGTCATGTGTCAAAATGAGATGCAAACGTTCCCACCTGCATCAGTTCACTTTTTTCTTTCACTTTCACTTTTTTGCATTCTTTTTCTTTACCGTACGATCACATAATTTTACAATACCCATATCACAATAATCAAGAGCGATGGATTTTGCAGATCTATCCAATTACGATGACCTCTTGACCGACATCTTCTTGGATGGCTTGTTCCTGTGGTTCAAGACAACCAAGGTAAATGCCGTACGACGACGACGGCCTCGGATTCCCTCCAACAAAGTCCTGGATATCATTCAACGCAACATTCTCATGGAAAAAAGCCCTAGCGATGCGATTGCTGAATTCCTTCAGTAAGTATACCTTTTTTTCTTTGGGGTACATGTGTTTTTGCGCGTGTGTGTGTACGTGTTTTGTTATTTGTTTATCCTTTTATCAGCAAAACCAGATCGGAATGGATCCGTCACCCCCTTTTTTCTCTTTTCTATCCAAGAGGATATATATAAAACGCCAATCCGCTGTTGCTGAATGAAACAGGAATAATACGGATTGGGGGGGGAGAATAAGGCTGGAGTGGCTGATAGGTTTCTTGTATCCGTACACATAGTGTAACGTGTTATAAAACCACATGGATGCATGCACCACCATGCGTACTCTGGTCTGGATTCTTGCTTGATGAATGGTTGTTGAGGAAAAGGGATAAGGAGTTGTAGGGGAGGAAACGTGGCTTTGAATGCAATGAGTATTGACATGGGATGAATTTGTAGAATGGACTACTTTAAGCATTACATTGCGTCAAAGTCTGTCAAGCAGCAGCAAGAATTTGTGCAACACATGAAGCGCTATCTTTATATGTAAGTATTGCGTGTATGTGCCTGTTTTTTAATCCGGCGTTGCACATTTTGCGTGCCACCCCTCTCTCCTCTTCCTCTCTCTCTCTTTTCAAACCTTATGGCTTTTTGCTTTCTTTTTGCTCACACACGCATGTGCTTCTCTATATCAGGTATATGCCAAGTGCAGGCTATGAGCTGAGTGATACACGTCGATACTACAAGCATCAAGATCGGAGAGTGCCGCAACCATGCTTGGTGGCGACCAAGGATTGGCATGTGGGGCAGGAGCTAAGGTTTTGCACAGGGACCCTTACAAGCCTCAAGCCCAAAGAGAGCGCTCAAATGTGCAAAAACAGGCGAGATGTTGGTGTCGTATGGTCACCGCGGAAAGGTTGCAGCTGTGTTTTTCTTGGTCCTGCAAGATTTATCAATGTGAGTATAGAACCATTTCTTGTGTACCTTTGTAGCGGTGTATCCTAAACTCTCGTTTTCTTCATGTAGCACGATTGTGATGCAAACTGCAAGGTAACCACATGCACTCTCATGCAATGGGACATACATGGATTAATACTCCCCTCCTTTTAGTTCATATCTACAGGCCAAAATTCAGTGGCATTTAGGGTCGTCAAGGAAATCAAATGTGGAGATGAGTTGACTGCATACTATGGGAATCATTATTATGGCGAAAACAATTATGATTGTCGATGTGCGACATGTGAAAGGTGAGTCGTTGTGCCTTGGTTACCCACGGGGTTTTCTTCTTTGGGGGGGGGAGGACAAATGACAAATGACTGATAATTCAGCCGCGGGTATCACGCTCACACATACACTCACACACGTTATCTCTCTCACACACAATCATAGGCAAGGTGAAGGTTATTTCTCTATAAACCACGAGACTACCGATAATGGATCAATGGGTGAAAAAGAAGATGGCAAAATGAAAGTTAGCCGGAAGCGGAAGTCCGCTCTTCACCAAGAAGGTAAGCATCAATGCAAAAAAAGAGGTATATTTTTCACACGCTGAGATAACCTTTCAATGCCGTCCCATTTAGATTATCTTGCGGATGCCTTACTCTTTGATCAGGAGCAGCATGAGCCTGTTATTAAGAACAAACGCCGTAAATCGAGTGTCATGAGCATTGACTTTTTGTGTGGCAATCAAGGACAAGAACCAAAGAGCGGAGAAAGGATACCCACAAGTCCTTTGGATTTGCTGTGTGATGCAGTGATGGATGCAGAGTACATTAACGTGGAGAACAAGGAGCAGCAGCAACAGGAACCCAAAGCCTTAACGGTGTTGGTGGATCAAAAGAACGTTAATTCGGTCTCTATTTCAATGTATTACCCAGGTCCCTCGCCTGTGAGTGACGACGAGATCAAAGCTGATTCGGCTGTGAGCGTTTCGCCAACACCACATGAATGGAAAGAAGATCTATCATCATCATCAGATGAAGGTGTGGAAGAAGAGGAGACCCCGTTGGACGATATTTTGGATGATGTATCAGATTTGTCATCAGTGGCATCCTCTGAATTGGATGAATGGAGTGACCTTGATGGAAATATCAGCAGCAGCAGCAACAGCGGTAAACAACTACAACGTAAAGCAAGCAATAGTAAGAAAGAGGAAAATGCCAAAGATGGTCCTTTGCAATGTATCGCTTGTCAACGAGAACTTCGACGAGAAGAAATTTCAGAGCAATTGGGATGCGATACATCCATCACAGCGGACCTTGTTACATGGACGTGGACACCAAGTGCATTGTTTACGGATTGGAGGCCCAAGCGTTGTCCACGTTGTGAGCGGCATTATGCTATTTTCAACCAAGAATGGCCCAATCGACGACAGCGGAAAAGTATCATTGATAGCACGCGAGACACAAGCTCCAAAAAATCTATACCCAGTGTCAAACACAAATCATCCACAACCACCAGCACCCGCAAGTTGTCATCGTCTTCACCTTCATTGTCCAACAAAAAGCTCAACAAGAAAAAAGCAACGCCCACATCATCACAGCCTTCCTCGTCATCATCACCTACGCGATCACAACATGACCCCCCAGTAACAACGTTGCAAGATCAAGACGCCATAGATGAGCTTTTCTTGTATGAATCCCCACTCACCCCATTATCCGAATTTGGTGGTGATGAGGAAGAGCTGCTTGCACTGTAATATACCACCATCCTGTACATAATTCATTCTCCTTTCTTTTTCACCCAAATAACAATGATTTACGCAAACCATCCATCACCCCTTACATCTATCTTGTGAAGGAAATTTAATTTCACATTGCCCCATAGAATGCATCCATCGTCATTGTGTAACTCCTTAGGTACGATTACTTTTTGCCACAATCCCGAAACCAGGATGGCATGACACGTTAACAAAAGTATAAAGGGGATCATCGTTTTCTTTATCAAACATGGGCGAGTATACATTTACAAGGTTCGACTCGCTATTTACATGGCTCATAAAACTGCCCAATTTTCCACCGACTTGGTCACGTAGTTTAGGATCTTGCAGTTCTTTTCCGTAGCATGAATGTTATCCGGTAACTTCTTTTTGAGGGAGACATAGGCCGAGTATTGTAGCACAAAAAAGTCAATCTGACAACCATCAAAGCTCCATCCTTGATCATCCACACGCACACAGCCGTTATGCACCTTGCCATCAGGAAGCTTGAGTCCATCAAATTCCTTGATGTACAGCTTGGTGCCTCGTTTGATATCATTGGCAGCCACGCTCACCCATGGTTGTAAAGCATTACCATTACTTCCAAGTCCATAAGGTGATTCTTTGCGGTCCACTTGCATGAAAACACTGCTGCTTTCACCGAGATTCACCATCTTGCCATTCTTCAATAACCCGGTGCCTTCCATTTGAAATTTCTGATAATGGTATACGTGCATGTGTAAGCATGATACATACCAAAGGATAGGAAAACTTACGTCGTATGTTACTTCAGCAACTTTTGCAATGGTCTTACCAGAAGACGTTTTGAGGCTCTTGTTCTTTTTCCCTGTCAAGGTCACTTTTTGGCCATTGTTCAACATGTCCTTTTCTCCCTCCTTGGGTATCCAGTACCTAGCATGTACATATATCAGTATCATCAAAGCTGCAGCATGTTGTGATTGCATAACGACATACTGTGTGAGGCGGGCATTCTTTTTGTAGCAGCTACTGATTCGCTTTTCCAGCGACGTCGGCGCAGCCGAGACGATAGCGAAAAGGATGACCAGCATCGAAATGAGCAAGAAAAATGAGGGCTTCATATTTATACAAGGGAATGAATGTTGTGTGTATCTTGTTGCTAGCCGACAACGAGGAGCCATATTTATATGTACAGGATCATACATACATGGGCGTCTAGGTGTTCGGCCAAACGTGGTAAGCTTTCATTATCAAGGCGTTATGTGTGACACGGGTGACAGGTCCATGTGGCTTTAATGGCTTCATTTACCATTCAAAGTACCTCTTTTCTAGAACCGACAAGATATCAAAGTGTGGATTGAAGGACGTTGATGGTCGCTGTAACACATGTGCAGCAGAAATAATGAGAGCTTATTTCATGTTTACGCTTTTATGAAAGATTTTGTTTACATCGTCATGGTAATAAGCTTCTTGTGTTTCCATCGCCGCTTGTTGGCAATTAACACCACAACCACATGGCTCGCATATATTACCATTCATTTATGAATTACGCTGATGTAGGGTGATGCCAAGGGAAATTGGGAAATTGCCATAGCAACTCGTTGCTATGGCAATAAAGGTGATGCAAACTGCTTTTGTTGCTGAGTATATGCATATGCTACATTGACCCACCATCCTTTTGTGCAACTCGGATCGGCCATCATTTTCGGATCAACCTGTTAAAAGAATGCCGGATTGACATCTCCCCGATCAAAGGAGAGAGAAAGTAAGAGAGAGTCCTATGCCAACGTTCCACCAGATCGTTCGTTACATCCAGTGCAATAATGAAAACGCCTGATGGTGCTACACAATTGCTCACTGCTGGGTACCCGATTCATGAACATTAACACCGCGCATGTAATAGAAGATGCAACACGTATCGTCATCATCCACCAGATAGACGTTTATAATCGTGTGTCATGATACCTATCTACAACAATCGATATCCTTTAAACGCCAAAAATGAATGTAATCATATGCGAATATGAAAGCGCAATTGTGCAAGGCCTCACGTGAGCTCGAATTTTGCCAGCTGATGTACCCCGTTTTCCACTGCTATTGAACGCTGCACTCTACGATTACATTGCATCCTCAAGATTTCAACTCCTGCTATTTCAGTTTGCAGCCCGCTGTTGTTTTTATTTAGGACCACAATGCATCAACGATCTTTCTGATATAATAAACGGGAGCGCTATCTTGTGGTTTTTGTATTGGTTCACAGTGGTATGTACAATGATGGGAATGGCGTGAAGTATTCATCCTCAAATGTTTGAGAAGGCTTGCAATGGCTGGCTACCGAGTTGGCTTGCTGCAGTATGCCTCTCGCTCCTTTGTATCCTGATCAATCCTCCAACCACAACCTGGGCATTCCAAGATCACCGTCGCTTGCACGCTCTCAAATGCTGTTGACATAAAGCAATGGTTGGATACATCATCATAGGCTCATGGAATGATAAAAACGTGATACCTTTTTGTTGTAGCGTGGACCGTGGACGACTTCCATGCAACCGCCATTCAGGTTATTGAAAGTCCCTTACAGCAAACCCAGTAGCTGAGGCATATCACCATCATGATGCGACCAAACGATGCATATAGATGCGTTCCAATTGCAAGGGTGCGAGGTGGAAAAATATCGTGATAGGATCAACAGGCCCGTAGCAGCGATGATTCAATGATAGACCAAGGGACGAAAGTATCTAGAGGACAATGACAACAACGACAATAAGAGTAGGAGGATGACAATGGGGGAAACTGATGTATGAATGACCACAAAGATCAGTACATGAATCGCAAAAAGTACTTCCCATCAATCATGATACTCACAGAAACTCGGGTTTTGGCTGTGCAGATGATCCAAGATGTTTGAAGGGGTATGTGTGATATCGCTTATTCAATCCAATACTAGCATGTAGAGGGTTTGCGCCAATTCCAGCTCATCAGAATTCCTTGTTCCTTGGCCAAAGTTCCCCTGCCATAAGCTCACTATTCGAAAGCATATCAATATACAAGCTAAGGGCATGGTATACAAGGGGATGATGATTACACATACCACAAAGGATCCACAAGGGGAATGGGATCAAGGATCACACAAAGACAACAATGAACACCAGTAATAATGAAGCAATGATGAGCTATAATCAATGTTGCATGAGCATCCTGATAACAAAGAAGCTATCGATAACACGTACCAATTGGGTATGGGATATACAATCAAATACATGAAGAAAGAGATACTGATGATGATGCTTGTGACAACAGCCTTGTTTATATGTGGTGGATGGGCGTGAGAATTGTTGTCCATGCAAGAAAAGGGGATTGTGATGAATTGAGCTGATGAATCAAACATCTTGGAACACGAATGTTGAAGGATGATGGATATGATACGTCAATAGTTGATAAATGCGTGATAATTGAATGTTGTTGATGCAAGAAAAGTAGGTCGAAATGGATCGAGCTGATGAATCAAACATCTTGGAGTATCAAGGTCGAAGGATGATGGAGCTGATACGTCAACCACCTACCATCAAGAGAGATAGTGATCTTAGTATGATGGAACACGAGTCATTGTGAAGGTAGTACCATTAATGCAAGCTGCACCTTTGAACGTCAAGATGGATCCAACTGCATGAGCAGACACCCGCATTTGTCGCCATAGAGCTTAAGTACTATAGCTTGATAGGCCATCGAATCACAACGATACTACTGATGCTGTAAGCTATCGCTGCTGCTGATATCGATGTAAGGCAACGTCAAAGGTGGGGGAGATTGGCTGACAAGAAGCTGTGAAAAGAAGGGCTGTTTCGTTGCGTTGAATCGTGAAGCGATGGCGACTTTTGAAGACATGTAATTGTGCATGGAGTGGAGATCAGGAACGAAAGCTGTTGTCAATGTCGATCGAGGCTGCATTAGGAGGCGTGTGGGAATGAACTGAACTGGGTGAACGTATAATAAAGGAACCAAGAGGGAAGAAGAGGTGTCTTCAACGCTGAAATTTAGCGCGTTGGGTCCATGGGATGGGCGATCATTTTCCTCCTTCCGCCTGCATCTTGTGGTTGAGGGTGATCCTACAATGGTAAGGATCATGTGATGAATGGAATCATAAAGATTGTGGACACAGACCGTGCTGTGGATGCTACGCTTTCGTACCACGTGCCCAAGCGATTTGGGTGAGCACACCTTGTCATGCTGTGGTACCACTCACGTGTGATTTCATGGATCGGCAGGATAAAGCCTTGAAGCATACATTGTATTCGGCATCGTTTTTGAAGATGATAGCAAATATTATAGGGTTAAGGGACTGATTAAGGATGATCGAATTGCCGTGCATGTCCAAGGTCAAGTTGTACCTTTGAAGCACATGATAACATCATTATGGGTAATGTGTGCTTGTGTGGTTCCACAAATGGGAAATGGGAAGGCATTTTTCCGTGGTGTGGCTGCTGAACACTTTATGTACGTAATCTGGGACCTTTTGCTGTGGTCGAGGGCGTTGGTGATCATGGATGCGAGTACATGACAAGAGGTCGTGTGATTATTCTCGGTAACACATGTCGCACCTTTGTAGCTGGCATATCGGGTGGTATCACTTTTGGTCCTGACACCAAGAAAACGTTGCAAATAACCAAATTACAATATTCGACAAGGGAGAGAGTTTATAGAGAAGCACTACAAGTGAAGTACCCGGCTACTTACTTTGAAAATTATTTGCATTAGGTTATTGAAGCTATTCCAATCGAGTATTCAGAAACAACAAACTAGCATTGTGCAACCAACAATAGCAGCATCAGCAGTTGAAAAAGAAATCGAGCCAGTGTTTGGGGATGTGGATGAGGAACTCGACGTTGCAACAACATGTTAAATTCGATTCTCTATTGCTTGGACTTTTTAAACACGGGGGCAAAAACGGATCCTATTGCAATGCATTCATGCGTACATCAGACTGACACGATCATAGTTACACGAGAACAAGGTGCACGTTGCATGGGTCGTGGTGAGCCATTTTGTCAATCGTGTGGTAGTAGTGGATCCCGGTTATTCCAAAATGGGAGGAGCTGCTTTACAAGTACAACTGAGAAAGATGCCCTAAACGGTTGTGGATGACCAACAATCCATTGGACGACATGTACTATAGTGTATGATAAAGTTTTTATAATACCTTATCCATGCATATCACCACCTTCAATCTTCTACGATCTTCTTCATAATCCTTTACATAGCCCAGCTTCTTGTTAATAAACGCAGCGATGATCGAATCACCCTTCGATATGAAGAAGAGCATTGAAGCTGTCATTGTTGATCACGCTTAGGACCAAGCTTGAGTAAACCCCAACTCATCTAAGATATGTACGCACAGGCGAAAAAATTACCATTATCGGATCTTGTCCGGCAGGACTTGCAGCGGCTGATCAACTCAACAAGGCATGCCACACCATGTACAACCGTAGTGGATGACATGGGTGGGTTGTTGATGTATGAAGCTTAGACAACAAAAGTGGTACTACAACAACGGCGGATCGACTTTTTGGCATCCGAAGGCGTTGTATGTATGTATTGGTGCCAAATGTACACGTGGGTACAGTTGTAGATTACATACGGGCCGAGAATGATGCGGTGATTGTATAGCCACTGGTGCAACGTGGCCACGCGACCTACATAACAATTCCAGGACGTGATAGCCATGGCGTTTACTTTGTAAATGGAATTTCTACTACTTACAAGCAAGCAAACATCAAACCTTTGGTTGATGATGATGATGGTGGATGACAATTATTTATCAGCCAACAACAACAACATGCATGTCATGGTGATTGGTCGTGGCGATACAGGCAATGACTGCATTTTGGCATACTGCAGTACCACATGGATGCAAGTCGGTCGTCAATTTGGAGTTACTTCCGCGGCCACCCGAGATGCAACAAGTGATGATAATTCATGCCATGATATGCAAGAGTAAATCTAGAATTGATTATAGACACAACACATTTTGGTAAAGGATCCACGAAAATGCAAAGAAGAGCTTGTCGAGGATCATCATAAGCGACATGCCAAAGAGGATCAGCACTATACAACAAGTTGAATTGCAAAAGGCTATGCATAAAGTGCTATGTAGCTTCCAAGCGAATCGAGTATTCCTTTCAATGGCGGTCCCTTGGTCCTAAAGAAAAACTTTTACAGCAATTGGGTGTCAAGAATGATCCACGTTCTAATATTGAGACACCCAAGGGACACCATCATGTAACGTCAATACGAGTAGTTGTAGTACCTGAAGTGTATGCAGCTGGTGGGGATTGTCATCATAGCTAGTCACTGATTGTATACATATGGATGAAGGAAGAAGGGGAGCAATGTGCACGTGAGGTAGAGATATGTATCTGACAGGCAATCCATATCCGCCTCCAGTATCGGGTGGCATCAACCGACGTGTGCTTCGAGTGAATCTACGAGCTTAAATCACAAATAAATAGGAAGATGAAACATTTGAGAATTAGTGTTTGTGGAGGAAACATGCAAAAAGGCAACTAAGAACGTAAACACATAACCCCAATTCTGTACAAGACTATGGAAAGAACATGGGTTGTGTTTGTCACCCCACTTTGTGGGAACTTTTAGAAGACTGTGACACTGACAATGCGCCATCATTCATGATGATGATGATGATGATGATAACTCTTTTGAAATACCCATTGTGACACTTTCAAGTAACGTGATAAGACAAGGGAAGGAAAGGGGGTGACATGTGGTATAATGCATATACGTATAACAAACGAATGATGGTGACAAGTGCAGCTTGTAGTGAACAAGTATGACAAAGAGATCACTGGACCCATATCCAATGCACAATGTTCATCCCGTCATATACGCCCTTCTTTTTTTCTTTTTTTATTCCTTGATCCTTAACCGTATCGATTACTTTGCCTTTCTTCCCAACACCCTCACTCTACTCTCTACTCTGTTTTGAGACATGCCAACGCTCGTGTCCACTGCTCGCTCTGAGCCACTTGCAATGCCACTCATGTCAAGCGATCCAACCTCCTACAATGACCTCATTAGACAACTCGCAGCACAGGCACCAAAACCTTATGGGGCTATTCCACCTTTATTAAAAAAGCGTAAAAAGAAGAACAAGCACCCTCGTTCACCATCCAGTAACGATGATACAGCTGAAAACCCTAATAACGATAAGGCGAGGATTCGACGGCGAATGTCTCATGTGGAAAACTGGATTGTGGTCGATAGCAAAGAAAGCTTACCTGACGAAGAAGAATTGGTATGTAAATATGGGTGTGTGTGTGTGTGTAGGTAGTCTCCATTCAGCTACTAACACAGCATGAATCATGCGACTGTATCATATTGCTAGGTGAATCCCTTCTCAACATTCCTTTCTGGTGATTTCTTTACTCAAGTCCTACCATTACATATGCCGCCACCCTCTTTAAGCGATCCAAACACTACTTCAACTGCTGCTGGTCCTATTGCTGTTCAATCTCTCAGCCATGCCATCATCAACAATGACAATGAATATGAAGAAGAAGACGAGGATGAGGATGATGACGAGGATGAAAGCGTTCGTGTTACGCATGATGATGGAGAAGATGAAGGTGAAACTGAAGGCATTGCTATTGTACGTCGACACTCGATCACGTCATACTCCAAGTCGCAAACACCATCCACATCAACAACATCTTCATGTGTCTTGTCAACGTCTCCACCACGCGATGATAAGGACATGCGGTGGGTAGAAACGATTGCCAAGTTGAAGCGATCATTGGTGACACCTAAAAAAGCACCACCACCACCGCATCGATTGATCCCCATGCCACCACCGCCTCGACGACCACCTTTACAACGACGACGTTCAGAGGCAACGACACAACCACGCTTCAATCCAGAAACAAACACTTACCTCCGAGATACCCGCTCTAATCCCGACCACCTTCGAATCATTGTGGCCGAACTCAACATGATACGCCATCTAAAGTTACTTAGTCCTCTCAAACCAAGAGGTTTTCTTACTCGCCGCAAAGATCCTTTTGTCAAAGGTGCCCTTCGACGTGAATCACCGCTGCAGCATGAATGCATCTTTTAGCAGTAGTAGTAGTAGTTGCGTCATTGTGATTTTTAGCACATGTACCATATCCCCACCCCCTCCCTTGTTCTACAACCTTTTCAACTTACAACAACAACAACAACAAATAATGTACATTGGTTGTCGTGTATGTAATCAACATCATCTGCTTTTTATCATCACCTTAAATATTACTTTTTGTGTGTGTATCCATCGTGACCCTTTTTGCGAGCATGCGATCCCATCACATACCTCTTTTATGCAGAATTTTATTGTGTTGGTCTGGATCGTGATAATAACATTGTTACAAATTTGGTTGTGCTTGCATCAAAGGCTGCTATTAGTTTGACGCCATGATGTTCGTGTCACACAACAGCCCTGCTTCATTTAATTATTGGACCCTATACTAATATATCGCATCCTCATTCACTTTGGCTTACCGATTCATGAGATGGATGGATGGATGGATGGGGTCTCATGGCAATATGTAAATCTTAAACAACGCACCCGGGTATATTCCGAGTGTACGGTGATTGACCATGATGGGGGTCACATCGATTGACAAGAGACTCTATCATGAGTGTGCCTAATATGAGCGATGTTACTAAAAACAGCTTCCAGCCTGAAATTCCCGACAATGGTCGAACAAAAAGACAGAGGCCTCTCTCTCTCTCTCTCTCCTTGTTCGTTAATTCTTTTATTCAATATCTTCTTTACTCCTCTCCTACATGGACTCTTTATATTCAACCACTGCCTCGGCAATAGACGAACCGAAATCGCTATGGGGTCCTCTCACCATTGCACTGCTGGCCAGTATGACTCAAGCTTTTGGCATTTCCTTACAACGACGAGCACATCTGGTTGAACAGCAACTCGGCATCGATGGACGTCTTCCCTTTTACAAACGACCATTGTGGCTCTCTGGATTCCTCATTTATACCCTCAGCAACATTGTACAGTCGTCATGCACCATCGGCTACCTTCCCATTGTCATTCTTGCCCCTGTGGGTGCCATTGGCCTTGTCTTCAACGCCGTCTTTGCCAAACTCGTCCTTGGTGATCCATTTACATTAAAGACTGTGCTCGGTAAGTATTGCTTATACTGTGTGTATATCATTTATTGACACGATATCTATCTATGCAGGTACCATGCTAATTGTTCTGGGTGCTGGGCTTGTTGCTGGATTTGGCGTTGTACCAGAACCCAATCATTCACTTCAAGATTTGATTCGATTATACAAACGACCCACATTCATTGTCTATTTCACCATCATTGAAACGTTCATTTGCCTTGGATTATTGACAACCCATATCATTGACTACAAAATGGAACATGCACCTCCATCCTTGTCAATGCAAGGTGGCAGCATTTATGGCCGTACGGACCTGAAAATGTGGTTGGGAATCAGGTGAGCTTCACACACATATGCACATTGCCAAATTGGATCATGCTCCTTTTTCCTCCCCTCCCCACCCTCACACACATACACACACGCACACACACGCACACACATCTTGTCTCCTTTGATCTTTTATACTGATCTTTCATTTCTCTTTGGTATAGTTATGGTGTATTTGGTGCCAATATCAGTAGTCAGGCCATGTTGTTCGCCAAGAGTGGATTGGAACTATTACTCATCTCAGTCTTTGGTGACGACAATCAATTCATTTATCCTCTTACATGGGTCCTGGTCCTTGCCCTGATTTTCACTGCTGTACTTCAGGTAACACAATCTCCCTCTCCTTCTTTTGCTCTTCTCTCTCTCAATCAACTCATCATGGCCGTTTGTTGAATGATAGCTTTATTATCTGAACCGAGGCATTCGCCTGTGTGACACAATCATCCTGGTGCCTCTCAACTTTTGTTCATTCAATGTGTCCTGCTTATTCAATGGATTGGTTTATTACGATCAATGGGAACGATTGGTTTGGTGGCAGATGGTTGCTGTCCTCTTTGGTATTGCCATCCTTATAGGCGGGGTGCTGATCATCTCGTGGCAACCCGGTTACATGGCTTCTTTGGCAGAAATGGATGATCCGGCATTATTACCGGCAGAACCAGATACACAAAAACAACATTCGATTCCATCTCCCAAGGAACCTAGCAAATGGTGGTTCAAGCTGACGGCTCGCAAAAAGAAGTATCTCAATGAACCCGATGAACGAACACGGCTGTTGGATGATGATTCATCTTAGAATATCCCTTCCTTCATCTTGTTACTATTCCTTCACACTTACTCCCCCTCCCCCAATCCACCCAACTCTCCTCATTGCACACACACAACCATCATTCCATCTCTTATATCATATATAGCATTGCCTGTTTTCCCTTTTGGTTACTCTTTTGTAGTCGCCTATTCATTTTTCATGCATTCAACATGTTATAACAATTAGCATACATCTTTCAAATCCTTGTGTGGTTCCACGTTGTTGTTTTCCAATAGATGAAATGCATGATGGGTCTGTTTAATAATGATGCGAAAATGATGATATGATACTTCACGCATGAAGAGCAAAAGAACTTGAACAAGACTTTTTGTGTAAAAGGAATGTGTGGGGGTGGGGATGGGAAGAGATGTCTACATCGAACATGAAAGGACTAATTACAACACATAAAGAAAAAAGATGAACCTCCAGGGTGTCTTTTGAGAATGATACGTAGAGTCATCAAAACGCTGATGCTGGCACCGAAGACACAGCCCACCAATTTTCTGCATGTGGTTTGTGTTGTCGTTTGAGTTTCTTGATAGGCCTGCTGTTAATGTCACTACTATCATCGTCCTTCAAATCCACTGTGTATGTTTGCGAATGCCAGCACGAGGGTTGTTGTTCATGCTGTCGACGGCGTCTATTCAAAAATAGATCGGTCAACGTTCGGAGTAAACGGGATTTGTTCCGGGTGAAAAGAGGATCATCTGTATTAATACAAAACAGGGGATGAGTACACAAGCTCATAAAATTCTCGCGTGGTTTGTTTCCTACCTTGCTTTTTACGCATGTAGACCGAGGTATTTGAATAACTACGGCGTGGCATGGTATGATTTTCCATCTTTTTGCTTGTGAGCGACTTGGTTTGACGAAGGCAAGGAGTGTTGTAAAAAGGTTTGGCACCACAATGAGAAGATACTGATTCAAAATTCATGATGCTGTAATTGAATGAATAATTGGATATCATTGACAAATGAATGGAAAAAAGAAAAGAGAGAGAATGGAATGGGGGAAAATGCAAAGGGAAGGACAAGGGTAATAGCAAAGAAGATGTCTGGGATGAATGGAAGAAATGGTATGATGCGGGTTGGCGAGCTTATTTATATGCAGAATCACCCCCAGGCACCACAAAGAAATCCCAAGTCAGCCCATACTGTGCCCCTCTCATAATACATATCCCCCATGCAACCACGCATAATACATGCACCCAACCACCCATATACATCAACATCTTACACATGCTTATCAAGACACACGGATTATTAATCTCCCAACAAAAGGAATACTTCTTCCCCTAGTGACCCCTCATGACTCTTTCTCTTTTTAACCACCCCCACCGTAACATCATCATCATCATACAATAGCTGCACGTGCGAATCCTATCCTTTCACATACTTCTCCTCCTTTAGGGCACACACACACACACCCGTACACACATACTTGCCATTGGTGTAGGCATGATAATAGTGGTTCATCCCCACCCCCCGCGTTCCATTCTCAACGGCCGGGATAGATTGTTTTTCTCCATTTTGCTAACTTTTAACGTTTTTGTGGGAGCATCCGTTGTCAAGGTCGCACGTTGGAATACTACACAACATTGGGGTCGTTAGTGAAAAAGTAAAAACAGTGCATAAAGAAAACACCTAGCATTTGAGTGTGGGTCTGTGAAAAGTCCTTCTAGTGCTTGTGCTTTGCAATTGGCATTCTCCTATCGGGTTGCGTGCGTATTGTGCCTGGCACATGTGCGTGTGGATAATATGTGGGTACAAGTGGCCTGAGCAATGCCCACTTCATAACCACCACGACCATGCTTTGGACCCGCCCTCTTCTCCTCTTCCTCCACACGCACATTTTATTATTACGCGCGCCTTGTATGTACAGGAACCACCCAAACCAAGGGTTCAAATTCTTCATATGTATTCCCTTTCCAACAACTCCCTATACACAAATCTCGAACATGTACACTGAAGAGTTTGGCCATCTTACATACCATGATGATTTGCTGAATGGTATTATCAGTGTGATGTAAAGATGTCATGAATGCAGGAACGTACCTTTTTCTATATCTTTGTTTCCTTTCAATCATCATTGCAAGTGCAAAATCAGCGCGTTTAATATGTTTGTGTGTGCATGTGCATTAATCCCCCGCATGAGTAATTGTACGTGCTCCACACACACACACACTACCTCTCATCTCCTCCTATGTATGCTCTCTCTCTTTCACACACCTTTTTGTTCTCCCTTGAACATGATCTGGATACTGCTATTCCCTTGAACTATGCCCTTTGGGCCTCCCCCTTATTACCCCAACAAAGCCGGTGCATCATCATAAATAGGAAGATCCATCATCCTTTGCCCTTGCATGTATCATCATGCCATATTTTGGGTTCCATCTCGATCTATTACGACTCCTTTGTAACTATCCTTGGCACTACTATGACATCTTGAACATGTATGAAAAGATACAAAAGAGAATTTTATTTCTCAATGTTTTGTTTAAGCACGAGCAAGGCGAGCGTTGCGGGCCAATTGACGAGCGTTGAGACGAGCAACCTTCTTGCCAGCAGCAGCAGGAACAGACTCTTCCTTCTCAGTAAGAATGACTTCAATGTGGCAAGGCGAGCTCATGAAGGGGTTGCTAAAAAAGAAAAGGCACACACATACATTAGATCACAAGTATCATAGCAACCTCCTCTACCCTCACAACAACTTACATTCTACCGTGAGCACGGTAAGTGCGACGACGGTGCTTGGGAGCTTGGTTGACAATGATGCTGGAAATGTAAAGTTCCTCAACGTTCAAACCCTTAGCTTCGGCGTTGGATTCAGCGTTCTTGAGCAAGTCAGTGACGAACTTGATGGACTTGACGGGCCAACGACCTTGGGTGGTCTTGAACTGCTTAACTTGGGAAGTACGGCCAACACCACCGTTGAAGTGACGGAAAGGAATGGCTTCCTTGTGCTCGTTGACGTTCTTCAAGTAAGAGTAAGCCTTGCTCAACTTCAAGCCCTGGATAGCAGCGGCAACTTCGTGGGTGTTCTTGAACTATATATACAACAATACATTAGCCTTGCTGCTAACGAGGTATAGTGACATGGGTCATTTCATGATTCGATACTTGCGTGAACACGGAGGTAGGAACCGCGGGACAAAGCAGCTAATAGACAATTGGGCGAGATCAGTCAACTGAGTGGTAGTTCGTGGTTGAAAATGTCGACATGCTTACCCTTGGACGAGTTGGAAGGGGTGGCAGCGTATCTCACCATCGTGGCTATTGAATGAATCCGTCATTAATCAATCCATCCTTTACAAATGATGCATCATCCATCCATCGTCGTTTGCTGTTGTTGCTGTTGCCTATGGCATACCTTGGTCGGATTAAAGAGAAGGAGTTCAATAATGGATCTGCCACTGCTTTCAAAGTAGCTCCTCAAAGCACAGGACGCTGTCCGAGCCGGACTATCAATTTGGCTTGTCTCCCATTCTCCGCCGCCGTGAAGTGGTTGCCATGACCACCACCACCACCACCACACCAACGCATGTGTAGTCTCAATGATAGACATGTCATTATGCTCCCTTTGATGCTATCTTTTACAAATTAACATATATAAAATGCGATAGTACATTTGCTGTGCATATGTCATGTTCGTGTGTGATGCAGTTTATATGATGAGAAGATGTTTATGGCAATACATAATACACATGCTGTGAGAAGAGCAATGAAATGTCTTTACTTTGGTATGCTCGAGAGGTTGATGCATAAAGATAAAGAGCTTCAGTCGTTTGTACTGGGATTAAGAACATGCATTGATTACAATAATCGCCAAGTGGTAAATGTATCTTGATGAGGGAAGTATCTTGGTGCATTGGTTTGCTTACAGTCATGATGACCATGGATGATCAAGCTAGCATTGGAATACCTTCAATGTGAGTAAATAGTGTAAGTGAATTCTGATCTAGGGTTGATACGAATGGGATGATCCTTATGCACTGCGAATAAGCGAAAAATTTCTGCTCAGAGCGGAACATATTTTGGAGGCTTGATTGACAGCTATTCCACGCCTTCTTGTTCACCACACACACACGCAGACGCACCATGGATACCACTAGCGCGAAAAAGAAGCTCAAGATCTCGGACAATGTCACTGTCAAAAAGTCAAAGGATGAGAAGGATTTGGAAAGCTATCTTTTTGGTGACATGGACGACCAAGTCTGGGATCGTGCAGGTCATGAATTGAGCGATCAAGAAGAGGACGAGGACGATCAAGCTCAAAGCAGTGCCAATGAAGACGACAATGCAGAAGAGGTAATAGTTTATTATTAAAGGACAGGATGGATATTGATGAAGGATCACTTTGTAGGCATTCTTTTTTGACTCTGGTCCTGGTTTTGTGATGGATAGTGAGCCAACACCCTCTGGTGCTGTCGACAGCGAAGACCATGAGATGACTGAGCGCGCCAATGACGATGAAAGCGATGAGGATGAGGATGAGGAAAGCGAGCCTGAAGAAAGCAATTATGGATATCTACGCAAACCAGCATGGGAAGATGACGATGATCGCCGTTTACTTGTCTCTTTGCAATCCAACACTCGACTTCGAAAGTTGCGCAAGGATGTCGATGAAGATGTTGTGGATGGTATCGAATATGAAAGAAGACTCCGAGCATTGTAGGTACCAATGGGAAATGAGGAAGGATATACAATATTGATGATCATTATCTATGTCTTTTAGCCATAACAAGATGTATGCCCGTCCTGCATGGGCCAAGTTGCCTTCAGAGAAAAGAGAGGGCGAAAATGATGAGGAGGACGCTTTTGATGGTGAAGATAATCTCGCTGATGAAGATCGTGTCGACTTGTTGAAGAGTACCTATGGTATCCTTGAATTACGAAGCCGTCGCAACTTGTTGGATCCTGAACAGCTTGCTGTAAAACGACAAAAGAATGCCAACATTCAAGCACAATCCAAGGTAAGGAAGGAATAAGGAGTTGTTGCAACAACAAACAAGAAAACGCTAACATAGGATTGGATTAGAAACGTATCAATACCCTGGCTTTCCATCCCAATGCCCAAGTAATGATGGCTGGTGGTGAAGACAAGACTTTGCGACTCTTCCAGATCGATGGCCGTGTCAACCCCAAGATTCAATCCGTATTTTTCAGAGATCTCAAGGTCACATGCGCAGCTTTCAATCCAAGTGGTGATCAAGTGATTATCTCGGGCCGTCAACCCTTCTATTACATTTACGACGTACAGGCTGGATCTGTGGATCGTTGTCCATACATTTGGGGTCGCAATGAGCAATCATTGGAAAGCTTCACAATCAGTCCTTGTGGCAAATATACTGCTTTCCGTGGTAAAGGAGGTCATATTGTTCTCGTCAGCACTCTTACCAAGCAATGGGTTGGTGATTTCAAGATGGATAGGAGTGTGGAAGGCATGGCCTGGTCATCCGATGGCAAATATTTGCACAGCATCGCCAACAATGGTCAAGTGTATCAATGGGATGTGGGTCAACGTGAATGTGTCAATCGATGGACCGATGATGGTGCAGTACGATCAACAGCTTTGGGTGTAAGTCGCGATGATCGATTCTATGCCACAGGGTAAGTAGTACTGTTGGGAGGAGTAAAAGGGAGAGAATTCATGCTAATAATGATACGAATCCATCATAGTTCCAGTTCTGGTATAGTCAACTTGTACGATGATCGTGTACTCCAGCCTGACAACAATCGACCCACACCTTTCAAATCTCTTGGCAACTTGACAACACCTATCGACAACATCAAGTTTAACTATGATTCACAATTGATGGCTATTAGCAGCCATGATACTCGAGATGCGCTACGTATGGTTCACTTGCCATCCGGCACGGTGTATCAGAATTGGCCCACAGAGAGAACGCCTTTTGGTCGCATTACAACCATGGATTTCTCAGCCAACAGTGATTATCTTGCTGTTGGTAACGATCTTGGCCGTATTGTTCTTTACTCATTAAACCATTACGCCCTTTAGATAACATCATTCCCATCATTATCCGATCCATTACATGTATACACAACTCTCTTACACCGCATTGCATGACTCTCACACACACACACTCTCTCTCTTTGTATTCCTTTTTTCCTCTTCATCCACATTACATACGCACGCACACACAAATATAGAAGTAGTTGATAGAAAAAAATAGTTGCCTTGTATATACACGAGTATGGATCTTGAAAGAAGATGATAGAGAGGGGTGTGTGGGGGGTGATAATGAATGGCTGATCTACTTTCTTGCTTTGCCTTCTAAAAAGTCCTTGGCTTCATTGATCTTGGTGGCCAAATAGGGAGATCCTCCACGATCAGGATGGTTCAACAACATGATTTTTCGATGTGCTTCCTTGACCTTGTTCTTTGTTGCTTGGGATTCTCTATGGGATTACCTCGTTAGTATCATCGTTTCTCTGGCATACCACTTCAAGACTCGTACCTCAAACCAAGGATAAGGGCTGCCTCACGCTTATTCATCTTGGCATCGAAGCCACCCTTGTGGAATTTCGACATGCGTGGGACCTTTGGTGCCTTTGGCATCTTTTGGTATTCTTGAAAAGCCCGCATACCGAGACGAGCGGCTGTGGCAGCACCAGCAACAGCAAAGCCGACAATTACAGGCGTAGACTAGTGTATATATACATGTGTTAATATAAATGCTATACCATTGGATCGCATGGTGTTGTTGTTGTTGCTATTTACCATTTCGGAAGTATGCGGATAAAGAAGCGTATTATAGTCTCGGTCAGCCTGGCTTCGCCAACATACAAGCTGACACCCAATAAGCCACCTTGAACAACGTATAAATCAACCGTTGTATAATAAGAGTGATGGTTGTATACCGGTTCACGACAACACACTCATGGTACAGTACCAAAATTTTTTATCAATGCGTTAGATGTGTCCTTAAGCCTATGGTGGCGTAAATGACGCACGGAAACCAAGATTTTATTCACCAGGAGGAATAAGCCGTCTAACCACCACAGTATGTTGGTAAACTACATAGTAATAAATAAGCATTAATACTTTTAGCAAAACATTGAGCGCATTTCAATGTCATACATGTGTACTTTCTAGTGAGTGCGTTATGGATTAGATAGTACGGGGTTTCTTGTGAAGCTCTGGGAAAAACAGGCATCCGTCGTCCCTACATCAAGATGGACATAAATAGTCAACATTGATAGCATATTAAACATCGATAATCTTCTCATGCGTACGTAACCAAGTAATGGCAAAGGCCTGATGATGATTTCTTCAATTACTCCAATAGAAGTGTGGGGTACTAGAATAAGCCATGATAATCATTGTCGAGGTCAGGCATACTAGGTCAGGTGTAGTAGCAGAGCAAGAGTTATCTTGGCTTACATACCACCTGGGACAGGTCTATAGGAGACGATGTCTTCCACATAGCATTTTGGTGCTTCGATGGCTTGTGATGACATGTCGATTATGAGAATAAGAAAAAAGAAAAAAGAAAAACTATGTATGTGAAATCTTTATGTATATAGCTGATCATCATAATATCATTTCGGGGTAAGGTCATTGTGAGAAGAATGATGAATTCATCAGCAAAGACTCATTGTGTGATGATCGATGGTAAAGTTAACATGTTGTTGCTTATTCAGAGATATCCTTTGGTGAGGCGTTTTGGACCATTATGCAGCTGATGCGAAGGATGCTATTGGGATCAATCACTGGCGGATGATTGTATGGTGCAATGGTATGAAGAGAGCGTGTGGTAAAAGTATGATGGATGCTGACTTGGGGCACTTGCTTTTCGATCAGGACGCTAATTAAGGAGGGTACATTATGATATGGAATGGATTACTATGATGAAAATATGGACGTGCTAAAGGTAAACAAAAAAAAGCGGATACTGCAGCAGCGTATTCAACATGAGCTTTTGCATAGACACCGAGTGTGGGTGTGGACCTTTCGTGTATATGGCAATCATTGGTAAATGATGATCCGTTCATTTCTTCAACGCCTACCAACCTCCTCTTTTATTATAGTACGTTGGCTATTCAGGAAGCTACCTATCTTCTGGTCCTTGGAATTATCATGGATGATGCTGTCATTGGATGTCAACATGCCTTCGTGCATACATGGCTGTTATTGGTAAATAGTGATTCGGTTATTTGTTCGAGGGCTAATACTCACATGAAACCTCGCATTGTCATTATCGGTTCAAGTGTAAAGGATATTGTCAAGGCACAAATCAGGAACAATGAAAGGAACGACCTTCTCCCACTCCCGCTTCACAACGATGCAAGGTAAGGCCAACACAATTTACACTCTCCACACCACTAACTTCTGGCATTGCCAACAATGCACACCGTCAATGGGTGAACAGGTGGTCAATGGCGACACATTCAGCTACAACAAGCACGTGCGCGATCTACCCATGACACAAGCTTCCTTTCCAATACAACATGTAAGTTCAATCGCTGCAATTCGTTTTATTGTTCAAGTCGAACATTGTGGTACTAAAGTTCGCGTGTAGGTTGGTGTTGTCTCGTCTATACAAGACCCAATGAGGCGTCGTGTGCCCTCCTTACCGAGTTGTCCACAATGAGGGTTCTCAAGACGTCTTCACATTGCCTCTTTTGGGTATGCTGACAACAAAGGCGTGTGGGTTGGTTTTACTTGTTATCTCACATTGCGTTTATGGTAGGTTGAACATGTTGGATGATGGTACCTCTGGCAGCAACAGGATACGGATCTCAAAGCAAGAATGCTGTATGGTTGGCTCAATGGTATGTGTGGTATTGGATCTACAAAGCGAAACATGTTAATTAACGAGCCTTGCAATGAAACAGCAGCAGCATCTACTGGATGGCATGGATATACGGTTTCTATTTGAGGCAATGATGCTATTGAGAAATACCACAAGGTAAGAGTGTTCATTATGATGGGATTGGTTGGATTCAAGTGGACTTACCAAACGCCATACAGTGGCAGAGCCTCTTTCGGCGATGCTATTATTATCAAGGCTGCACGTCAAGGATGTCATTGTATAGTACTGTGCTCTCCTGGGGAATTTTGGCCCGGAAACAGTGTGACTCAATATGCGATGGCAAGGCCAATTTGAAAAGGCATCCGCTGTGCACACGGCCTCCATCCAAGTACGGCTATTGATTTCCTTGCCTACAGAGAGAAGGTGGATATCTCTTATGATGCCAATTTCAGGATCCAATGAGAGTATAGTACATATGGTGGCATACCTTGGCGCTGCAGGTTGATTATTGTATTGCCTTCGGATGGTGTATTTGGTTGCAATTCCTTGTGATCACCATGGCTCAGGTATGTATGACTCTCATGCTTTTTGGAGATATTTGCTGAAACGCCTACCATTATTTAGAGGGATTATTGCAGCGAGCTACTTATCTTTTGGTGCTTTGGAGTTTACAAGATCACAGCTATGAATTGCTAAGTATTGTTGGATGAGTTGGGACAATTGTTTATGGTGCATCTTTTATAGGTGAATCATATCAGCCATGGGGAAGCGTTTATGTCTTTTGGTGGTGTCAACCTTTATTGCGTCTCGGGTGGTTGGTTACCAAGCAACGGGCGATTTCTCTGAAGAGTGTCCGCCAATGCAAGTCTCTTGTGAGTGGATTGTATCAGCAACAAACAACAGCATGCATATCTTTGGTGCCATATCAACCCTCATCCCATCATCCATCTGGTGCTTTCCATTACCTGCAATTTGGTGAACCTCCTGAAACAAAGGTCCCTTATCGATCGATCATGTCAGCAACAAGGAGCAGGTTTATACCTTTGGCGTCAGCAAGCTTTCGATCATCTCGTGGTTCTGATTATCGACAATTCCTTTGATGGATCTCTACAACTATACGCGTCTTATGGATGGATAATGTCATCAACAAGCAATGAGAGTCCGCGTTGACATCTTTGGTGTTACCAAGGTCATTATGCATCTCCTCAAGGCATTCATCGTCAAGCTGCATTCGATTTCCAATGAAAAACGATTGCCATTCACATCGCTCTTTAGCCATATGTACGTCACTCCGCAGCTAGGATCTGGTTTGGGCTTTTCGATGCACAATGCTTTCTCGATTTGCATGTGGTCTTGGGCAAAGGATTGTCTCGTTGTCTCTCTTTGTAAGGGCTCTTCGGCATCATGTAAGTATGCTCTCTTTGGTGGTATCAATATTACTCAACCTTCTCACTGCATATGTCCATAAAGTATCGTTCCATCGCTTTCAAGCCGAGTGTCACCCTAGCGGGCCTTATCAACAAGCAGATGATTGCGACGATCGGCTAGATTTGGATATCGGTAGGATTGCGTGCGTATGGTTATTATTGGTAAATAGTGCTCCATTCTCTTCGTCAACGTCTGCCAACCTCCTCATTTATTATAGGGTGTGGTCTATTCAGCAAGCTACTTGTCTCGTGGTCATTTGGGGGTATCATGGATGCAGCTGTCATTGAATGTCGACATTTTTTCGTGCGTATGGCTATCATTGGTAAATAGTGGATGATCCGTGTTTTGGCTCCAATCCCAATCAACCTCCCCTTTTACTATAGTATGCGGGCTATTCAGCAAGCTGCATGTCTTATGGTGCATTGGGATTTCTATGGATGAGGCTATCATTGGTAAATAATGATCCATTCATTCTTTCAATGCCTACTAACACCCTCTTTCGTGTGGGCTATTCAGCGAGCTACTTGTCTTGTTCCCTTTGGATTCTTGATGGATGCAGCTATCATTGGATGTCGACAGGATTTCATTCATACGGCTACCATTGGTAATTGGTGATCCATTCATTTCTACAACGTCTGCCAACCTCCGCATTTATCATAGCATATGTGCTATTCAACAAGCTACTTGTCCTATGGTCCTTTGGGATTTCTATGGATGCAGCTATCATTGGATGGCAACATGGTGGATATCAATAAGAGCACGATGGCTACAGGGAGACATTCCTCGCAGGACCTTTGGAGACCAGGAGCTGGATGGCCAAGGTAAAGGGATGGAATTTGGTACTACATCAGTTTAACCACTATGATCTCTTTCATGCAGTAGTATGCAAACAGCTGCGGATCGTTTTATGGGATCATCAAGAATCAATCAGCTGCACCACCACTCGTACCCAGATTGGCACTACCCCAAGATCACCCTCCACTCGTAGCGTCATTACATGTCATTCTATTCCTACATTACGTACATGAATTTAGACACTTGCTCACCAATAGTGCATTTTTTGTGTTTGATCAACTATTTAATATTGTGGCATTGTATGAGATGGTGTATATGGGAACCTCAAAAACACAGTTACCCTTGATTTCATGGGTAGCGGATTTCATTGTTCCTCGCTGGAAGGATTGTTCACCTCCGTGAGTTTAATTTTAACCACCTCCAAGCGTACACCTGTACATGCTAATTTTGTTATGCGTCGCTTTTTATCCAAAGATGGAATTGTCGCATTCGTACAATCTGGATTCAATGTATAGAGTGGGTACCCCTTTTATGATTACTGTGAAGGTCCATTTATAGTCAAAGCCTTCGTTTTTATACATGATGATGCATACGTTATAAAGTACAAAGACCTAGCGGTTTTATTCTCAGTAACGCATAGCTGCTAGTACAAGTGCGTATGGAAAGCTATGGAAAGTATGTGTTTACATCGCACCATTTTTCACTTTCAACCGTGTACAGTGAATAAAAAGCGACGCATAACAAAATTAGCATGTGCAGGTGTACGCTTGGAGGTGGTTAAAATTAAACTCGTGGAGGTGAACAATCCCGCCAGCAGCGAACAAAGAAATCCGCATGGCACTCACCCTCAAAATCAAGTGACTTTAACCACGAACAAAGAACATGCAACCTTGGAAAAAGAATCAACAAAGAACCTGTTATTCCTAGAAGGAGTTTCCCTAAATAAAAGAGCTGCCATCAGCTCTCTTTCTCGTTACCTTGATCAATTCTTCGTACATATTTCTGTTGCCTTCATCGATTTATCCACATCCATACATACAGGTATGGCGACACATACATCGCCTTTTTATCGGATCATGAAGGCAGTATTTCTCATTTCATCTTGATAGAATGGCTGCAGTGCCACAGCAGCAAGAGGGCATTGATCGAACAGCGGAAATCAACAATGTATTCGGCGGCAATGTACGTAACATACGCGGCTTGAATCGTACATGCGACATTCGCTCTATATTACGCCCCGAGTACCAGTATTTACGGGTAAGTGATAATGATTGATCGAATGGCTGAGGTTATACTTACATACATTTGTTGTCCAACATAGGGTACCTTTATTACCATTGCTGAGCAGCACAACATTCTTTCTCGAGATGCCTATAATCTCATGAACATGCATGTCAGGAGGTTTATGCGTGCCATCGGTGATTATGACGAAGAAGACAATTGGGCTCCAAACTTTGCCACGATCAATATGCCAGGCAATGGGATCCAGCCTGGACCCGGTGGTCAACAAGTAATGGCTGGACAAGGTCTCTTAATCCCACCTGTTACCAACCAAGTCTTGTGGACATGGGCATACAAGCTCGTGTCCAACAATCCTACGCTGGAGAATGTGGTAAGTGTATATGCTTTCTTTATCACCTCACCAAAATCTAACGCCATTTGGCATCTGAATAGGATATCACAAGCCAAGACCCTGCTGCCCGAGACTTGTTGAATACATACACAAATCACTTTCAACCCATGCAACGAAATGCACAAGGCAATGGTAACTCGAGATATCCGCTTTGCCCGTTACTGTGATTAGATGACTAATTTATTGTAATAGCACTCTACGAGCCACCTGCAATGTATCCGAGACTCCTCTCGACATTAAGCGAGCGCTTTGCAAGAGAAGCGGTGAAAAGTAAGTGGCAACAAAAAAGCCATGTTTATGCTAAGCTTTGACCGTTGATTAATCGCATATCAATTTTAAAGACGTCAAGAACATGCTCTGGAGAAACATCCCTGTGTACGTTAGTCGATTGTGTGATGGATACATCAAGCATATGGTTCAATCAGAAACAGATTTTGGTATCTACATTACACTCAAACATCTCGGTAAGTGCATTTATTATGACTGGTGGCTTTATACCTATACTAATAACGCGACGTTCACCACAGCCCCCATCATGAGTACTGGTATCATAAACCACCAAGCAGATACACCACCACAATTGGCACCTGCGGATGAACATTATTTTACCCAATTTGTTGACGTCTATCAGTAGGTGTTACTTGGACATCTCTTTGCTTACATATATGCTGACTCTATCAATATAGAGAGATACATCAAGCTTGTGAACGGCTTCTCGCTGATGTACCCCTGGTGGAGATGCAAAGTACACCAAGTCGAGGCCTTGGCCCGGTACTGGCCATGCGACTGATGAGATTTAGCATGTGGCTATTGTTGCAAGCCGATGGACTCGATACCAGGAGGTGGTCTATATTGCCATTGGGAAAAACCCAAGTTGGGTTTTTCGGTATCGATTTGCGTATGCTTTGGGCAATCCTTCATTATGCACGTGACCAGGATCAAGATGCTTTGGTACCAGCCATATGTCTAAATCAGGTATGTTGATAAGGTGTACTATTTGCCATTGCCATTTCTAATATCTTTACATTACAATTAGCACGGCAATGTCTTAGCAAAACTTCCATTTGATGCAACACTTCAACCACCCCGGCAGAAAGAACTTTTATGGGAAGCGTTATTTAATATCGATTACGTCCAACGCCGTAGGTGGCGTTACTCTGGTAAGCATGTTGGCTGTGGAAATCAAGGTAAATACTAACGTATTTACTTATGTGTAGGCGAATTGCCTGGAACTGCAATACGATTTGCTCATTACATCCGTACCGATGGCTTTACAGCCAATGTCATGTTTGAAAGACCTCAACCAAGAAACCTGGCACGTATGTACTTTTAGCAGAAGCACGCTAAATCTTATGCTCACTTTTCTGTTATAGCTTTTTTCCCTGAAGTTGCTAAGACAGCTCGTCGCGAGGTGGCGAATAATGCTGATTTGGCTAATATCCACACGGGGATATACATGCTGAATAAGACCCCTCAAGGCCTGGATGAAGATCGTTTGCAGAACAGCCGACTCGTGGGGATAGATCCGGGTAAGTCATTTATAAGGATTTATCAGACTATGATTGTATTGACACCTATATTCTATTAGGAAAGCGCGAGTTTATCACCGGGATTCATCATGAAGAAACATTAGAAGTACAACCAGGGGAGAATCCACCAAGGTTGAATGCTGTTGAGATACCAGCGCGACACTATCAACATGCAACGATGGTGCATTGGGTTTACAAGCACACGTTAGCCAATCGACAAAAAGCCAATATGCAAGAGGTCTACGACCAGCTGGCGCAAGAAAGCCCCAATGTACCAAGATTGAATCAATTCAAGGCACATGTTGCCTGTGTGAGCCGCGACAGCAATAGGTTGGTAAATTTTATGGCATGTACTATGATTAGTATTGTTAACATTTATCTATTTCAAAGATTGCGAGACTTTTCCGCCCACTTCAAGCATAGGATCACTCGAGGGATTCTTTTTTCTGCACGTCAATCATACCAACAAGTAATGATCAATGAGATTTTGGGAATTTCTCCTCCTGATTCACCAGTAAGTTAAAGTTGCTACATGAAGATTACTATTGCTATGACCATGAACTCATTTATTATCATTTCCTTTAGAGAGAGCAAGTCATGTTCATCAATCGAACATCTAAAGCAAAAAGGAGAGGGATGCGGAGGTTCAGAAGACGAGACATCGGGTGGCAACGGCCTGAGCAAGAAACGATTGTTGCGTATGGAGATGCCAGTCTTGGGCATATGCGTGGTTATGCGCCACTTCCCCATTGGGTAAGCTACATTGATGGTTGTTTTTCTCTATGCTCATCTATATCATTTACTGTATAGGAGTTTATCAAAAGACTATGCAGACAGGCATTGGTCATTTTCATCGATGAATTCCGGACCAGCATCACCTGTCGACATGATGGCGCAAATTTGCATCTTTGCTATGACAATCGACGGCTGCATTGCAACCATAAGTATGTGGGGACAAGAGTTTCTTTTCTTTGCATATGCTAATAGGCTTTTTTATTCAAAACATAGGAAGACGAGGAATCGGGTACAGACTGCGCAAGGCAACAGAGGTCGGAAAGTGGTGCATTGCAAGGATGAAGATGGTGCTGTGATTGGCCGTTCGAATCTATGCCAGCAGCGTTTTGCAGTCGGTAGGTTTCTTTGGTCGTACAAGGAATATCGTTGTTCAGCAATTGATATGATGTTGGTTAGGGAACAACACTTGGCGCAATCTCATGTATCCAGTGAAGCGTTGTAATAATCACGGGGTAAGTTCCTTGTAGTTTTGTGAAGCACCAGCTAATGTATGGTTGTCTATAGTTCCTTGGCAGAGATGTCAATGCTGCGGCTCAAATGCGGTCCGTATTAAGATTGTATATGGAGACCAATGGAGATCTGCAATCTCGTCCCCCTCATCTTAGAAGATAGTCCCTTGTCCCCCCCTCTGGTCTCAACATACGTGACCGAGTTTTAGATTTTTGGTTGTTGAATAAATAGCCACCCAATCATACCTTTGTGTCATTGTTGCCATGGCAATTACCCCCATCTCAACCACTACAAATTGACCTTGGTAGTAGACACCCCATTTACTATCCCCATGTTGATGCCTAATCAGGAAGCATAGTGGTGTATCCAATGACAATACATCCATGGTTATCTTGAATGCCATCTTGCATCATGCATTGCATACCTCCTATCTTGTTTTACGCCTTTAGATACACTCCAATCTTATCATCTCATTTAGCAATCCATATATGTGATCCCTTTATGAATAGAATGTGATTGTCAAAAGGGCTTTGCTACTATGCACATGATAATGACGAGAGCATAGATGTCAATGCTGACACTTGATGTGCGAGGTCAACCATGGTTGTGGGATATTACATCATTTTAACGTACTTGGTTTTATATACAATGCTGAGCACAATGGGACACGTGTTAATGGTAAAAGTTGACAAAAGATACGATGACATTGATTCATCATCCTGCATACAGCGGTCACCCACAAGTCGAGCGCCTCGGGGACAATACGTTTTCGGACATGCGGAAGTGAATGGGGACATGTTTTCTTTACAAGCGCTCTATGTCAAATTCCAGGTTTCTTGTATTTGAGTGGAAATTCTGTGCCGAAAGAGTCCCTAAGTCAATATAAAACTACAAACGAGCTGTCCTAATGCCCAGTTTCTTTGCTGATCAACAATGAAGACAAGGCGGGCTGGTGAGCTGGAAATAAGAATATGCGTTTAATCTGAAAAAAGAAAATGAACTAAGCTATATAAAGTAAACCACTGATGCACTCGTGGCATTGGTTTTTGTGTATTGTAAGTGCGTGTGGGTGTGTGTGTGTGTGTACCTGTAGTAGTAAAGCAGGCTCGATAGTAATATATAGGGTGTGGGGGTCTGTGTGAACATGATCACTTTCCCTGTTTCTTTTCTTTCCTTATTTTATACACTATTGCTTTTGTGGAGCACACTCACACACACACTTTTTCTTTCTGGGGTCCATATACCTTCCAAGAAGCTATACCAACGCTCCCATTTACAAAGCCTGACATTGGCGATTCCTGAACACTGCTCATTTCCCCCACCCATACGCCGTCAAAATTCCTCTGCGAGTCTTTTCTTCGGTAGCCTCTCTTGTACTGAGGCGCAAGAAAGCGGCGACGGCAACCAAAAAGACATCGACACCTGCTGTAGGGCGTGTCAAGGCTGCCGTGGGCGACGTAGCATGCTCACCACCGCCACCACATCATTCATCCTTGACTTTTCGGTCTTCTGCAACATTGCATGGCTCTTCTCCCGGTGAGAAGGTCGAAGAAGATCAAGAAGATATTGCATTAACAAACGCGCTACAAGAATGGCACAACAAGACACCCTGCTTTGATACCCATCCCACCCATACACAAATCAATGATTTTGAACTTTTGGAAACATTGGGTAAGTTGATCTCCCACACCCTTTTACACATAAAACAAAAAAGCACATGGCAAAAGGTTGATTGTGGCATCTGGTGATTATAGGAACAGGAACATTTGGTCGCGTGTACCTTGCTAAACAAGATCAGTCTACAAAGTACTTTGCGATCAAGGTGTTGAGAAAAGAAGCCATCGTTCGACTCAAGCAAGTAGAGCATATCAATAATGAACGACAAGTGCTTTCTCAGGTCCATTTTCCTTTTATTGTACAGTTGTAAGTATCCTGTTGTGTGAATGTGTGGGCGTGTGTGTATACATCACATTGTCAACAACCATCTCATGACCGCTCCTTTCGATAGATATTACACTTTTCAAGACAATCATAGCCTTTACATGGTTCAAGAATATGTGATTGGTGGTGAACTATTTCGACATTTACGTAAAGCTGGCAAGTTTTCTTCACAAACGACGCAGTTTTATGCTGCAGAGATTATCCTTGCTATCGAGTAAGTGCACGGGTAAAAGATAAACAATGATAAGCTAACGACGAGTGTAAAGATATCTTCATCAGATGGACATTATCTATCGTGATCTCAAGCCTGAAAACATTCTATTGGATGCTCAAGGTCATATACGAATCACTGATTTTGGATTTGCAAAGCAAGTGGAGGATCGGACATGGACGTTATGTGGGACACCTGAATACCTTGCACCTGAGATTATACAAAGCAAAGGCCATAGCAAAGCAGTTGATTGGTGGGCACTGGGCGTTTTAATCTTTGAGATGCTTGCAGGGTTCCCTCCTTTTTACGGAGATAGCCATGTGGCGACGTATGAGCGCATTCTCGCATGCAAAGTTAAATGTCCTCGTCACTTTGACAGTGCAGCCAAGGATCTTGTCAAGGGGTTATTGGTGACTGACAGAACCAAACGATTGGGTAACTTGCGTGGTGGAGCACATGATATCATGCGTCATCCATTCTTTCGAGGCACCAATTGGCGTGGTCTACTCAATAAAACGGTGCTGGTAAGTGATTGAGCATTGAACAAAAAAGCACGTCATTACTCATGGTAACACACAATGTTAGGCACCCATCGTACCCGCTTTTGCAAATGATCATGACACAAACAACTTTCAAAAATATGAAGAAGAATCTCCACAAGAACATCCTGAAGGTGATCCTTATCGTCACTTGTTTGCTGAATTTTAGAAGTCTATGTTGCATCCACACATGTATAAAAAAGAAAAAGAAATATCATCATCATCATCCTGATCTAGGGTGGGGGGAGGGAGAGGGGAAAACCAAATTTACGGATATATCAATGAACGTGGTAGTTGATGTACAAAGTCAAGTAGAGGATAGGTGTGTGATGTGGCTAAATCCACAGGTCATTCGTGCATATCCATAATCCACCCTGTATGTAAATGCATGCATTGCAAATCCTGTTTTAAAAGACATGTCGCCTGTTGCACACGACTGCGTATAGTGTAGAATGCGTGTGAGAGTGTGAGCAATGACACACATACACCAGCATGCTATTTTTGAACTTTGGGAGTTGTATCTCGTTTTGACTCACGTTTTCCTTCCTTCTATCTCTCTCTCTTTCACTTTTTTTCTTTTCTTGCTCTCTTTTTCTTTTGACTGTTTTATGGAGACTACCATATCCCACTCACAATCGTCGTTTGTTTATCAAGTCGCACCCACTGATCTCTTGTCCATTGAGCTCAATGAGCCAGAGCGGACCTATTTCCCTGGTGAACAGATTACTGGTACATGGCCTATTCTCCAACAATCGGATCTCTCACAACGCTAACTTTTTTTTATTCGTATATTACAAAAGGCACTGTACACATTGGACTCAAGTTCCCAACCCCTTTATCGAGAGTGGCAATTCATTTAAGTTGCAAGGCGCGTCTGGGACGAAGGAACAAGTTGCCGCTATTCGTTGTAACATTGCCCCCGACAAACATCACACCCGGTTGCAGCCGGGTCCCATTCACTATCACTGTTCCTGCAGATATCCCTTCATCAGTAAACCACGAGGTAAGAGTGATATTACAATACTGCTGCTACTACGTACTTGATGATGAATGATGGATCCTTCTCTTTTATATAGAAAGTACCCGGCAAGATTGAATACAAAGTCAAGGCCGTTTATGAAGCAAGCGATTTGCCGAGCAGCGTATGGCCCAAAGCATCCCTTGATATTCGAGTACACGAACGCATTTCGACGCAGAGTGAAAAGTATCAAAAGGATCTCACCAGTGAGGGAAAGCTTTCATTCCAAATACCACACGACATCATTCTCAAGCAATGCACCTTCCGTAAAGGTGATACGCATACAGCATTGGCTTGGTTACATATACCCAGATCCTGTTTCTTACCAGGTAAAGTCACGTACATGCGTGTGTGTGTGTGCGTATGTATTGATCTTTTTATGATAGATGAGATCATTCCATTTACGTTAAGGGTACAACATTTTGCCCCCATTCGACAAATGGATGGCGTTACAGCATATCTTGACCGCATCACACAAACGCTTTCTGATAATCAGGGCCAAACGATCGACACAACCACCGTTCATCGAATTACACTACCGCTTAGCTGCGACGAAGACAACTTTCAAGCCAAGTTCACTTGCAACAAGCTCACAGTGCCGAGCGACACCCCACCAACATTAGAGAAAGAACAATATCCTTTACGTGTTACTTATCGGATACGCGTTGTCATCAACATGGATATGGATGCTTTACCTTTACGCAAACGTGATCGAATGGCTAGCTACATGTACATGGGAAGGAAGATGCGACTTTCAGATGATGAGCAAGCAGGTGGACCCACAATCACTCTCGATGTACCCATTAAGGTCGGCACAACGGATCAAGTCGACGTATCAACGCCAACTTCTTGTTTACACAAATCAGTATTCGATGGTGGATTCGGCTTCTTTCAACAAGGTGAACGACCTTTCCCATTTTCCCCATTATTGGGACCACCTCCTGCTTATGGTTCAATCGACGAGAAAAACTCTGCAGCAGACAACACAATGTCGGTTGTTATGAAACGGCTATCGTATCCACCCTCTGATAGCAATAGCAGTAATAGCAGCAGCAACAATAGCAATAGCATAGTCGTCATGTCTTCTACAACACCGCCACAACCTTCACAACCACCACCACCGCCACCGCCACCACTTCCTCAATCTTTACTAGTCGAGGATCAACTTGCAATAGCACGACAACCTTCTGCACCTAGTTTACAAGAAATTGAAAAGCCATCCTTATTGACATCACGTTACAGCTATTCAGAGACCAGCTCTAGTTCGGTTGATTCAGACGTAAAATACGCTATGCATGCACGGTCATGGTCTGTTCCAGCAGAATACTCGCATAACCCACATCATCATCAACATCATCATTATCAATATCATTATCAGCAACAACAACAGTCTCATGCATATAACCATCATCATCATCATCACCATCATCATCCTAGTCCTCTTATGATTCCACCACCTCCACCTCCACCACAATACCAACCTCACACATCTCCAATGCCATCCATTGCCAAACTGCAGATTGTCACCTCCCCGCCTCCTGTACCAAATCCTCATCAACAACAGCGTTATTTACGACCCTCCAATAAATAAGTATAGCTTGTATAGTATTCTTGTATCCACACACACACACACACACATTCGTTTATCGTTTCTTTTCTTTGAATTCGTAAAAATGAGGTGCTAATTCAGCTAACCAGTCGGGTTCGATCACTGTCAAATCACGCATGTAAGCTTGAGTTGTTTCAACCACCTCATGAAAAATGACGCATTGGGGTTTGCGATTGAAAAGCACCGAATCGGGATGCACTGCCAAAAGGACATTGTCACGAATAGTACGAAATCGACCATCAGGTTCAGCACGTGCCGCTTGACTAAAGTAACCACTCGTAAGACATTTGCGGATTTGCTCGCTGGCTTGGAGTCGTCCTTCAGGGGAGTTGGGATAATAAGCAAGCGCACTGATCAATGGGATATCAAAACGTCGTAAGTAGCGTGCCAATTGCTTGCGAATGCTGATCGCCCGTGAAAGTGCCTTGAAATTAAGAAATCGATCGTGACACCATTTCCCGGATCGGTTGCCTTTGTTGATAAATGCATGATACACATTCAATAAACTCAAATGATCGCCTTCCTCAACCCAAAACTTGCGTCGTGTCTCGAGTACGTGGTCTTTGGATGCTTTGGGTGGTTGAATAAAGACATTCTGGACTGATAACATGGCTGCAATCGTCAGGATCTCTTCGCTGCATTTGAAGTCCCCTGATGCAAGCAGGATCTTGCCCAACATTGGATCCACAGGAAACTCAGCAAGTTGCATACCAAGAGGAATCGTCAATCGTCCAACATCATCAATCGCTTTGAGTGAATACAATAACTCCAAGGCTCGAATCATAAGCTCAGCAGGTGGAGGCGTCAAAAAGTCAAATCGGAGCACATTATCAATGCCCAACGCCTTGAGCTGCAAAATAACAGGCGCCAAATTGCTCCTATATAACACAATGAGTTTTCTTTGTCATAATGAGGGAGAGGGGAGGATCAATGATTACCTTTGAATTTCGGGTATACTGGTATCGCGTAAAGTCTTGTATGTGTCTTCCGTATAAAGCCTAAATGCTTTGCCTGGTCGGACGCGGCCAGCACGCCCTGCTCGTTGTAATGCCGATGCTTTGGATGTAGGCGTCACCACAAGCGCTTCCATACCCGTCTTGGGATTGTAGGCTCGAACCTATTTAGCCAAATGTCAGGTCTTTGTTTGTTTCTTTTCTTTGTTCTCTTCATGCTTACCTTTACAAAACCACAATCAATCACATACACAATGCCTTCGAGTGTAACTGAAGCTTCGGCAATATTGGTGGAGACAATGACTTTGCGTGAATGTCTTGGGGTTGGCTGAAAGATCCGTAATTGCTCATCCGCTGTTAGACCAGCATACAGTGGAAGTGGCATCAGCGCCATGCTTCTATCAGGTAACCTATTCACCATCATGATTTAGATCTCGTGAACCCATTGTTTTCTTCCTTGTCATGCACACTTACGTCCTTGAACGCTCATATAATTCGGCGACAACTGTATCAATCTCATCACGGCCTGTCAAGAATACAAGGATATCGCCCGGTGGTTCCTGCATAATCCTCGTATATTAGACATACTTGCATATCACCCCTCCTATTCGTGATCACTTACCTTTGTGTGAATGTCAAATACGGTTTGTATAGTTGTCTCCACGTAATCAGATACAGGTTGATCAACGTATAGAATGTCGACTGGATACATGCGTCCTTCAAGAGATAAAATGGTAGCTGTATCCTTTGAGCGATCCGATGAATGATTGTGGTTGAAGAACCGAAAGAAGGCTTCTGCATCCAAAGTCGCTGATGAAATAATCACACGTAGATCAGGTCGCTTCTTTTGAATCCTATTGAATTCCATTGTCTTAATTACCATGCTCCTTTCATGATCCATCCACCTTACTTTTTGATGACGCCAAGAAGAATATCGGTGTATAAGCTTCGTTCATGCGCCTCATCGATCATGATGACATTGTATCGAGTCAAGAGAGGATCAATCATCGTTTCCCGGAAAAGCATGCCATCCGTCATGTATTTGATTCTTGTCCTTTGGGTCGTTTGGTCGTCAAATCGAATCAAATAGCCAACCTAGCCATACACACATGTTAGTTTTGACACGCTTGGATATACATGTATACTTGCCTCTGCTCCCAACTTGCAATTCTTTTCCTCTGCTACACGCTCTGCCACTGATGTTGCTGCTATTCGTCTCGGCTATTACTGTAATGAGTGCCAACCTGTCATTGATGTCCAACTTTGTTGTTTTCATACCTGAGTACAAGCAACTTGTTTCCCATCGGTGGTCCAACCAGCTTCGTCGAGATATTGAGGAATCTCTATCACACCATGTCTTATAAGATGGATTGTTTTCTATCGCTCTCCTCTTGTGTTGAATACTTACGCGTCGTCTTGCCACATCCAGTTTGGCCCACCACGATAACCGTTTGAAACTTTTCAACAAGATACAGTATTTCGCGTCCTACGAGAACCATAACAGCATTAGCCATGAAGCGATCGGAAGAAGTATCGTTTAAACATACGTAGTTTGAAGACAGGGAGTCGTTCGCGTTGCTGCTTGATTGTCAAATGGCGGAATTGTTGTTCGGCATGGGCGATCACGGCCTTGTCGGTCTCGTCTTCAGTGGCTCGATCAACCGAACTACCTGGATGAACGCATCAGCAACTGGATCTACTGAAGAAGAACAGCAATCTTGTTACCTGGAGCTACTGTGCCTGGTTTCCAAAATGCCATTGCTGTTGTGTGTGTTGGATTGAATAGAATCGCCACCAGAAAAAGAGAAGCTGCCAGAAACAGAAATCACAGCGGCAGGTTGTCGGTGCATGAATTATAAGCATGGTAGCAGCGAGTAGTAGTAGTAGTAGTAGTAGTAGTGTGTATCCATGGCAATAAAGGATCAAATGATATACCCGCTTTCTTATACATGCATCTAAATGCTAAAATGGGTCAAAGGCAGGATTAACCAGGACGACTTGTGTGGGAGGTGGGCTTACCAATCACTTGCATTACAACTACTACAACAACCAGCAACAGAAGTAGGTTAAGCTCTTTTGCAATGTCGCACCACACAAAGGCTCCAAGATGTATAAATGCTTACAATACAGGTCATGTTGCAGTTGTGTGATATGGATCAGCTCTCCTTTTTCTCTTGCCTCCATGCTGTGCAACATTTCACCAATTCTCTAATATAAACTTGGTATACGCCACATGGTCCGATCAGCGTTTCCCTGCGCACAGGCGCCCTCCTTTTTGCAAGCGGGGGAGGGAAATAAAAGATGGATGGCGGGTTGTCGTTGCACCTGATAGTTAATATACACACACGCTCTCACACACTCACGTTTGACGATTCATTTATCGATACAATATGAATTTCTCTTGTGTGATTATTCCTGGATTACAAAACTTTAATGATCTACTACTCCAAAGTGACTACAGTGAGAAAGAGAGAGGGGTGGTGATGATATATAGCAAGGAAAGGAGACTCTTTTTTTCTTTTTTTATAACAAGAAGGGTATCAATGGTGATAAGACAACTATAAAACATTTGTATATACACTATCCATGGAATAAGTTGAGGAGCTTGTGGATATGGTGGATGCACTGTCAGCAACACTACTACTACCAGCAGTGGCCCGTTGTTGTGGAAAATGATAGAAGAGATGCATGTAACTGGTGGATGATGATGATGGAATAGGTTCTCCGGAAAGAAGTAGTGATGGTTGACTCTCACACGATAAAGGTGTGCCATTGGGTAAATTCTTGGAGAAGCAATAAGATCGTCTTCGATGATAGGATAGTTCACTCGTACAAGATGATGATAAGGATGAAATGCTGTTTTTTCGAGCAGAAGGTGTTGGGTCGTTAAACATGCCATGGGTCTTGGACGCTTCATGTGCCTGACATGCCAGCGAGCAAAAACTCAAGTTCTGGTAATGACGTTTGTCAGTTTGCTGTTATAGTGCTTATATCAACAACAACTCACATCATCGGCAAGACGCTTTTCACAATACAAGCAAATGTTGAGATCCATTATGGTGTCGTTTTGGAAAGAAAAGGATGAGCGGGAAGAAGCCAGAGTCTAAAAAGAGGAGAGGACAATATCACAATTTATAGTTTGGGGAAAGGGGAAATGACCTGTTTCTCAGGTGCATAGGACACCTTCCAAAAGGAAAGGTCATACACGGTCGGTGATTAAAGTTTGGGGCGTCCTAGCGTCCTCGAGCATACATAAAGAAAAGCGATACCACATTAAGGAGCATTATCTGTGTATGTAAGACGCATCCGATTGCATGGTATCAATATAGCAAAATTTAAATGTGTGTGTGTAAATAATAGCGATAAGGGTAGAGAGCTATTAGGTATTGATAAGCAGTTTGTTATTATAATTGATGCTGCCGTGTACGTATATTGCTGTCGTTTGGCGTGGGAACAGCAATGATTTTCACAAAGGAAGATATACGTTTCCCCCTCTCTCTTTCTCTTTCTCTCGCTCAGAGCCCACAAGAGGAACAACACAGACAGTGCTTTGTTGTTTGTAAACTCGATGCATCAAACAATAAACAATAGCCAGGGTGCCTTGTGTTTCTGGGCCCTGCTCAAACTATGCTTTTTTGGTTCCCCTTTCTCTCTCGCAATACACTCTATAGCCGACAAAGGTCGTTGACAGATGGATCCTTATTTTACAATAGCGTTACCGATTTCGTTGAATATACCTGTGTAAGGGTACCTTTTTGCTGGTTAGATAGTCGTGTTTGTAACAATTGGCACGGGGACTCGTTAAAAGTTTCCCCAGCTGGTTGTAAGCGACAAAGTAGCTTTCACAATGAACACAGACACCTTCTGATCATGGCGAAAAAGTAAAAATTGGTTTCTCATGCGTGACACAATGATATCATACGTTCCTGAAGAAGATTGTAATATCATCGATCTTGGCAACACAGCAACAACAATTGCCTTGACAACAGTGTTCAGCACTACCATGCATGATTCATCGTATTAAGGGTGTTTGAGAACATTACAACGTATCTCCTGATATTGTAGGCACCACTGTAAAGAAAGAAGAGGTTGCTATCCTCACATTGCTGCATGCAATGAAGCTCCAAAGTGCATAAAAGTTGCATATGTTAAGTGGACGATCGATGCTTTGTCTCTTATCATATATATGGGTATGTATCTCTACCAAGAAAGAATGGGTTATTTGTAGACCCCATGTTCTTCCACGGTCTAGAGCTTATCATAGATTAATTTTTGGATGAGGCTCATCCAATGACAAGCTCGTGTGATTTCTATCTTATGTACACGATCACATCACACACAAGTAATGCTGGTGAAAGAGCTGCATCAAGAGCAGTGTACATGCACGTACATGCAACGTCTCTCATACGTTTTCTTTTCCTTTGGATATTACACTTTCAATCGAGACATCTCAGATTATGGATTAAACGCAGAACTAGAATCGCGATTTGATGTCGGTTCTTCTTTCGGCATTACAGAATCCAACCTACGCTAAATGAGCATAACACCACCAGAACATAACGTGTTATTGTTAGGTAGGTCATTGCTTGCCAAATATGCAAGATTTAGAATCACCAGATATGTACCAACTTGTGGGTTTAAGAAATGCTTATAGTAGATCGACTTCAGCGGTGTACGATTCTTCTTGGAAAATCTATCAACCATCAAATAATATCAAGTGCGTTTTAAAAGAATCGTTTGATCTCCTATACTTCTTCAGCTCGACTACATAAGGACATCCCATTGAAGTGCAAAAGGACGATATCACACCTTGTATTGTGAGTATATCAATGCTCACATGATACTCTAGGCATTCAGCATATGTATCCTCTCCTCATATCTCTTATGAAAGCATGTCTCGGAGGGGATTGCATACACTGTCAGCAAGGACTCCTCCCCTTTCGTGATTTTATGTCCATATGGATTTCAGCTAGCACATGTGCTGATATCGAAGAAGAGCTCTCACAGAAAAAACGAGCTGCACAACACAGACCACGTCAAGTTTACTATAGCCCGCATATAGCTATATGGCCCAAACCACATCACCCTATCACCTTTGCTACACCCTGTACAGCTTTGATTCTTATGAGGTCTCATGCACCAACCAACAAAACCACTACTTCTATAGAATTCATCCGCCATCACGCTTACAGCATAGGCGAACACATAGGCATCTATACCTCAAGCTTTTCATAATGAAGCGTGAGCCCTCTAGTAAAACGAAGTTGATCAACGTACCCGAACGCATCTTTATTAGTTTAAAGCTCGAGATGGACGATCTTATTGTAAGATGTATTGATGGTTCACTCGTCCTGAAAGTCAATGTAGGGATCACTTCACTTTTTTCTCTCAAGGTCATCCTATTCCTCCTTATTGTATCACAAAAGGTATATACTTCTTGCATGAACGATACATAAGCGAACCACCTTTATTATTCCATCTTCGAAGCTACATTATGTAATCCGAAAGCTAGCATGGTCCAAGTACGTAATAAACAATGCTTTATTTCATCTAGCTACATTATCACCATCCTCGTCTTCGTCTTCCGTCATCATTCGTACTCGTACTCGTACTCGTCGCCAGCCGTCAATCTCATCCGTCACCCAATATCAATAAACACGCAAGTTGAAGAGCATGAGATCTTGCAGGCTTCCTTTTGAATCTCGTTGTCGTTATCATTGTCATTGTTGTGAATGTGGCAATCATCGTAATGGTTGTCTCTATAAGTAAAAAGCAGCCAAGTTAGACCATCTGATACCGGGAATGATGACGATTTGGTATACCGTTAGGCGATCCTCTCCAAGGAAGGAAGCAAATCAGAAGGAATTCACAAACCAAATCACCACCATACGAGCAACGTCGGGCGATCCCTTGTTCTTGAGAAAGCACTGCACGAATCACGCAAGGCCAGTTCGATCCATGGCAAGGAAGGACATCACTTACGTAGAGTCCAGGCTCATAGTTGTCCTCATTCATCCTCCCCAAAAGAAAGAATGATCCCCAATCCTTCCAATCATTTCCCACCTCATGAAAAGAAATCCTCAAGGGAAAGAACGAGCCTATCACGAGAAGAGCCTGTTGGTTCAACACATTCACAAGCTGTTTCAAATCCCCTTTTACCTCAACACGGTGACCATGCTCTTCCAACAACCCATCCTCAACTCAAACGCAGGCCTATAGAGCCCTGGACGCGTTCCAAGAAGCTTTTCCACACACTTGGCTAGTGCAGAGCGACGCAGCGACGACTTGATACAGGCTGGGACTTGAACCCAAAGAGATGATGATGATGCCCCCAAGTTGCATTGCCTGACCAAAGAAACCTATTCAATTCATTATTAGCACACACACAATAAACACCCCTTTCATTGTCTGTTTCATTGTACTTGCCTTTTCCATAGACACAAAGACCCGTTGTTGTTGGTTACTGGAAACCGAAAACCATGGTGTAGTATAGTTGAGCCGAAACAAAACGCCAAACGAGCCAACGTCTTGAGACCAAACTTGTCCTCTATACAAGCTAACACATCAATGGAACCAGTTCGGCTGCAACATTGGACTCTGAATGTACCTGTTGACACCAAGCGTAGGGCGGGAATAGCAACGAACAAGAGGAAGCAATCGTATCGCCATGGCAATAGCCAACCCACCCACCACGCTCATTCCTCGGCACTTGGACACGCTCTCACTCCTTGACAATGCATGTTACCTCACAGTCAACAAGAGCACTCTTTGATAACACATTACCTACCTTGATTGGAATGTCGTGAATGCGATAAAAGCAGACGAGCGAGAAAGAGAAGAGAAGCGTTGTCTCAAGTCATGGAGCTACCGTCCCCAAGTTTAAATCTCCTACTGCCATTACACTGAGGTCACTCAATTACCCTACACACACCATCCACCCAAACACACAACTCACCTATCATCATCATCATCCTCACGATAGACAATAGGCATGCGTAAATAAATGAAATGATCCTCACGTATACCAAAGGGTGTGTGTCATTTTACATTTTACATGATAATGATGATCCAACAACAGCCATTGTTGCCATGCTACCATGTCACCTCGAATCAAGAAAGTTCAATGATGGGAATGATGGGTTGGAGCAGGAGAATCGTTCGTATGCATTGGATTGGACAACAAAGGTGAATGGGAGGAACGGGCTATTAGCTGGCAGTTTACAAATAACTTTGCAAAATGATGTTTGTGAAATTGGATGATGTTTTGTGTTTGAGCGTAACTCAACCAAATCCTCTCGGATCAAGAAAGTTGAAGGATGGGGATGCTGGGCTGGAGCAGGAGAATCGTTCACATGCATTGGATTGGGAAACAAAGATGATTGGGAGGAATGGGCTTTCGAGTGGCAGTTTACGTATAACTAACCAATTTGATTCTTCTGATATTGGATGATGTTGTTTCTGTGTTTGAGCATTTTTTCAGTCAAATCTCATCGGATCAAGAAAATTGAATGATGGGCATGCTGGGCTGGAGCAGGACAATCGTTCGTATGCATTGGATTGGGCAACAATGGAGAATGGGAGGACTAGGTTATTAGCTGGCAGTTTGAACTATTCCGTACATTCCTAAATAGTGTACAAGAATCATGCATCACCTGTGCTGAATGACTCAAGTTACACAAACACGCCCTCTGCATCTTTTGCTCTGCCAGGGTCCACCTACTTGACAATGAACAAAGACCACTCTTCATATAGCATCACGCTTACAAACATAAAGGTGCCTGTATCTCCGAACTTTACAATGAAACGTGCGGTCTTTGATAGAACAATGTGCTCGGCTTGGCCAACAGCACCTTGTGTGCAAGTTTCATGTTGATCGTGGCCAATCCCAGATTTCGCAATGTCGCTACCAGCCAAACTGGTTCTGGGGGTCGACCTCTTGAAACTTTTTTCGACGACCAAAAAATATTTTTTGGGTTGTTTGCGACATTGAACGCGAAACTTGCACACAAGGTGCTGTTGGCCAAGCCGAACACATTGTTCTATCAAAGACCGCAC